TAATCAATTTCTATTGTAATTTATAGAAATAGTTTTCTAAAACGCGAAATAGCAGCTAAACTTCAGTTTCTAACATTAATTTTTTTAAAATACAAAAGTGTGACGTCACACTATCTAAACACCTTCATCCCCCATCGTCACAAAATTGCAGACCCCCTCTCCCTACGAGTGTGATGTCATTTATGGACAACCCCTTAGCAATTATCTTGAACATGCTCCCAAGCCATAACCATTGCCATATACGTAATGTAAAATATTTGGAATGTTTAAACTATGCTATTTATTTTATTTCAAACCATAGTAGCCTATACTATACATTTTTTTCCAGGATTGAAAGCCAATAATTGTATCCTTATTTTTCATACATACTTGTACCATGCACAATATACATCATCTAACTAATAGCATACTTGGCAGAAAACCAATACCGGTAACCCCCCCCCCCCCCCCTGTTCCAAATGCGCTCGATTATCGTTCTTGTTTTTTTTTTCTCTCTTCACCTTCCGGTCTGAATATAGAGCGAAAAAAAAAAACAAATTCACACGTACGTTCGCCTGTCTACGTATTATAAAGCGTTAAGTAATTTATTCGACTTAAAAATTTAAACAGGAAAAAACTTTAATTTATTAATTAAAGAAAAAAGTTTTTATATCGAAAGCTGTCTAAGACGATTTGTTCTGCTTACTTGAATAATTGTGTGGGGAAGGTTGGGGGTATGTTTATGCATTGTGGTTTTGTGGTGTAATCGTGTGAGATGGTTGTGATTTGGTCTTTCATTGTGGTTGTGTTGGCGCGGTCGTGGGATGTGGTTTGGTGGTATAGTCTTGTCAAGTTGCGTGGCATGATTGTGCAATGTGGATGGATGGCATGGTCATGCAATGTGGGTGTGTGGTATGGTTATGCAATGTGGATTTGTGGTATGGTTATGCAATGTGGATTTGTGGTATGGTCATGCAATATGGATGGGTGGTATGGTCATGCAATGTGGTTTTCTGGTAGGTCGTTCATTGCAGTTGTGTGCGTACAACACTAGTAGATATACTTTAAAAGTTAAGTTCACTATCGAACCTGACGGTCCGAGGGACAAGTGAAGCAGAGTTTCGGTGACCTCGGCATATGAAGGGATAATGTGGTCAGTACTTTACTCGGTTACTTTCTCTTACATGCGCTCGGGACTTGAACCCGGATTCGAGCTCGAGACTTTTGGGTTAGCAGTCTAACATTTGACCACGCCGTTCCTATATTATGTAATTTAATGTGAGATGAATTTTCATTACTGGGGTCCATGTATGTGTGGGGGGGGGGATATAACCCCCCCCCCCTCCAACTCCAACACTATTGGATCATTAATGATAATGTAGTGTTAGTGGTGGTACTAGGACGTGTGGATTAAGCTAGAGCGGGACACACAGCTCACAACTGTTGGGCCGCTTACATCATCATAAGGACTGCATAAACAACATTGTGAGCAGACATAATATTTTGAACCATGGTCGATGCTTGGAGAAACTACCTGTTTATCCACCACGGGATCAGGTGTGTGTAGTTACAAACACCCTGGATTAACCCTAAGCCTTTATTGTTTGTTTTTTTCAGCTTTAGGGCTTTACAGAAAACAGAGAGAATTAACACAAGACGTTTGTTTGACATTTCATTTATGTCATGCATTGAACAATGTATATTAGGTGGCTTAGGCAAGTTTATATATATATATATATATATATATATATATATATATATATATATATATATATATATATATATATATATATATATGTATGTATATGTATATATATATATATATATATATATATATATATATATATATATATATATATATATATATATATATATGCCAACTTAATATTAAATGAACGTTTTAAAAACAGATGTAAGCTCACTCGTAATTTAATATAGCCTGTATAATGAACATAGACGCAATTGTTCATTCCCCAAGTTGCTGAGCAGTACGTTAAATCACTGTGTTTTCTATGGTGTAATCATCTAGTTAGAAACGTATATAGAAAGCTTGAATTATGAATATTAAGATTTTAATGTAATATTAATAGTAATAATAGGCCTACATTTTGATTGCTGCAAAACTTGCATGCAGAGTTTCTTTCAGACATCTCTTCTACCGCCCCCCCCCCCCCCCCCCCCCCGCCCCCCCACACGAGAAAATTCTGAAAGAAATACCGCTTGCTTGTATTTTGAATAATGTTTTTGTCTGGCTTAAAGATTTTTTTTAGATTGCTTAAAACAATAGTATGAAAAACGACACTCATACCTTCGTATTCATATTATATTTATAATATAGTAGGTCTATGCGCTTTTAAGCCTGAAGGACGTTTATCCAGTTTAAATATTTAAAAAAAATGCACACACAAGCATGCAGTTTCTTAACATGTGTTTTACTCACGAATAGTGGCGTAAATTATCGACCCAAGCCGTTGTAATCTAAAAAATGAATCAAATGTTTGTGTTGTTGTGAATTATCCATCAAGTAGATCAAAGTCTTCACTACCTTTTAGGTCGTCTATAAAATCAATGTAACACGAACACGTTTTAAATATTGTAAATAGAACATGCACATTGACAAAAAAGCTCACCACATCGTACGAAATAAGTCCTGTGTGTTTGTTTTCTTTTTTCTCCTCTTTTTACTCCTCAATCGCTAGACTGGTGCGATATTTTCTCCCCCTCGCGCGAGCCTCGTCTATGGCGGTAAGATAGCAACGGGCTCAGTGCAGACAAAATGCGATGTTTGAAACAGAGGCGTCGAGGCTGTGTGGCGAGGGTTAAAAACGAGCCTGTTGGTTTGAACTCGTGAAAGAAAATCTCGTGTTACAACATTTTTTTTTTGGTTTGTTTTGGAAAAATATTATAAGTTTGTTTTTAATTTAATTCATTTGAACGTAGAGCTACGTTATTATAAGATAATTTATGCTAGATTATGAATGAATCCGACTTTCAAAGCCACGCCACTGTCGCAGCGCAATCAATACCCAGTGAGCGGCAGTGTATGAATCAGCGCAGAAGGCGGCGATAGTTGACTGGGCCGCGCTATTTTTAGAACAGCATCTACCGAGGAGATAGGTAGAACAGCCATTCTCAACGGGGCCATATGGTCCACTGTGATTTCTACAGGGGGGGGGGGGGGGAGGGGGGGGGTGGCGTTGGGTTACTGATTGATTAAGGACTGTACAAAGACGCTTTGGTGTTGTTAGTGGGAGCTTGTGAAATAGGAAAATAACAGCACAGGTGTAGTAGGCTTTCTTCGGCAAGATTTTCAATTTTAAAAGCTACGTCTATTTGCAGCTCACGAAGAATTAAAATATAAATTGAATTGTCTATTTCGGTATTAACAAAAAGACATCTATATTATAAAATAATTTCAGTTCGATTTGTATTTGTTTTATCAACATCTTTTACGGCATTTTCCTATCAGAAGCACTGACTAGTTATTCAATTTCAAGATTGGGGTCGTCTATAAATGACTTCAAGCTTTTTTTTTGGAGCAATTTTACCCCCCTTCCCCAATACTAAATTGTATTGAAACAGCGTTCTCTTTCTAAAATACTGAACTTCAGAATAGGTTAATTTTTCAATACAGATTATTAGCAAGTTTTTAGAAGATGCAAAATTACTAAAATTATGTATGGACGACCCCTAACTACCTAAAACACTTTTTTTAAAACTGACATCAGCTTTGGAAATTTACACTGAATAAGAGAAGTAGGCCTACCTTATCAGGGCTTATCATTATCATGATACCTAAAGTAGAGCTTATCTTTAGAGTTATACACTGTGCATAAAACATAAGTTCTAATCTATCACACTCCATGCCAGTGGGGGGGTGGGGGTGGGGGGGGGGTCATAACCCCCCCCCCCCCCCTAGACCCCTCGGTATATAGAAAAAGTATGAGGGGGGAGGGTGCAAATCGAAAGTTTGTCCCCGGGTAAAAATTGGAACCCCCCCTTGAGACGATCCTGGCTACGCCACTGCTCCATGCAAACATACATTCATACATACTTACATGACCAAGCATATATAGTAAACATGTTTTATACAACACAAGATCAAATTTAAAAAAATGGTTGTCATTTTAATTCCTGAATAGAAAATGGGTATTGTTCAAGACTCATTTAAACAAATTTTGTTGAACAGTTTGATTCTGGATAGTTAAAAAAAACATTAATATGATGGTTCTACTAGGAAAAAAAAACTGAAGAAATCAATTATAAGCAACATTGATAAATCAAGTGTAATCTCCACATCCTAGTTATAGCATAAAAATCTGTTAAACAAAATTTCTGACTGTTGTTGGTAATAAATAAAATATGTACAATTTCTGTAGTGCAGCCATTTTGGAGGTTTTAAACTCCACACAATCAAATCAGCATACTGTTTCACTAAAACTGACACCCAAAATTTCCTACACAAATTGATATAAAGTTATTGGAATAGTGCTTTAACTTTAACTACAAAAAGAATTCCTGTTAAATCTTGCAAATATTTTTTCCCCATCCCCCATAGTTCAATTCACTAGCTTTTCCCCTCAATAAATAAAATTACAGTTCAATTTATATAATTCATATACAATTTTACATTTTTAAAAAAAAAAGTTTATTTGAATGTAGGCCTACACAATGTAAACTAGTTGAGCTTTTGTTTACAATGTTTCACTTATACTGCCTGGCATCTTCATTGTCCTCTAGAGACCTCTACCATTGGAGAATCCACTTTGGACCACTGCTGAAGGTATAACACCAAATACATTTTTCCATTGTGCAGGTTCATTATGTGACTGAAATATAAAATTAAAGTCCCCCTCCCCAACCCAGCACTATTTTTTTTTCTTATTAATTAGCCATACATATATCATGTGTATTGTATTGCAAATAATACATTAATCCTAAGGATTAGGGCTCGAATTAACCATACTTAGATCTTGTGTATTGTATTGCAAATAATACTTTAATCCTAGGGATTAGTTCTTTAATCACAAGGATAAGGAATAAAGTGATTACATGGCAATAATTTCATATCGAGATATCCTGTATTGCACATAATACTTAAATCCATAGGATTAAGGATGCAGGAATGTTATTTGCAATTACACCAATACAAGTATGAGCAAATGGCTAATCAACAAGTTGTACCTTTTCATCTTCATATGGCACCAAAAAAAAAAAAGGAAAATGTTATTGTAATTTAGCCTTCAGTTTGTTCTTAAACAGCACGGGGAGCAAGGCCACAAGTGCAAAGACTGCCAGCAAGCCAATATTTCCCCAGGACATGGCTTCACTTGTGCTTGACAACTTGTGCAGTGTCTTCCCAGCTTGGATGAAGACAAAGGATGGAGGTGCGACTCCTGTAGGAATTAAAAGAGATAAACAAATAATCAGCCAGAACGGTATACATCTGTATATATGGTAGTTTCCCTTTCAAACCAATGGATGGAGGTGCGACTCCTGTAGGCATTAAAGAGATAAACAAATAATCACCCAGAACGGTATACATCTGTATATATGGTAAAGTTTCCCTTTCAAACCTGACGGTCTATGGGGCAAGTGAAGTAGAGTTCACTTGTTTCTGTGACCTCGGCATATGAAGAGATAGTGTGGTCAGCACCATGATGTATATATGGTATTTCCTAGTAAATTCTATTTTATAATCCATATTAATATAAAATTTATGGTGAAACAATTTTTTAAATAACAAACTTCCTAAATAAATTTGTTTAACTAATTCAATTTTCCTAAAAAATAATTCAAATAAATAATTTAAATTTATTTCTAAAACTAAAAATCAAAGCTAAAATACCTGTTATTTTTTAAATTTAATGGTGTTAATAGATTTATATTTGGGATGGCTATATACTAGACAGCTAACCTGAAAGTTTCAAGTTCAAATCCAGGTTAAAGAGTCCACCCAGCTCTGAAGGAAAGTAAAGGCGGCTGGGCATACTGCTCACCACACTATACCTTCCTAAGCCGAGGTCACAGAAACAGGTGAACTCTACTTTACTTCCCCACCAGACCAGGAAGGGAACTTTAATAAATTTAATTGGAGAGCAATACAATGACCAACCTAATGTTGTTCCAATGAAAAATGCAGTGAGCGGGACATCAATCACAGGCGAAGTTATGTTAATAAACCAGTTTGGTAGAAACGGTGTTATTCTTAGAAACAGCATGTAGTTGAACAGATGCTCTCTGTGGTTATCCACCTGTAGACACAACACATGTGTGAGTCATAGGAGACTTAGATTTTAGATAGTTCATAAATTCATGCATCAATATAATAACGACATTCTTGTATAGATCTTATATACATAAGATATATATATATATATATATATATATATATATATATATATATATATATATATATATATATATATATATATATATATATATACATATATCTGTGTGTACGTGTGCGCATTTTTATATAGGCCATATACACACATGTTTATTATACTTTAATGTATGTATAGCTAGTAATTAAATACCCTGGAGTGTTCGGAGATTTTATCATGTTGAGCAGAATGTACTGATAGCATAAAAGCTTGCAGCAAAGCGAACTCAAAAACTAAAAAAAAAACATCTCAGCACTTACATGTTTTCTCCAATCAGCTGCTCTTTGGGGGAAATACCTGTGTACAATTCTCCTTCCAACCATGTAAGAAAGAAGATAGCAAAAGGAGGCTCCAATGGCTGAACACTGCAAAAGGAAATATTGTTAAGGGATTGTGAAGTAGCATATATTTTATTTTAATATAATTCAACTAAGTATTTTCAATCAGAATTGAATGAAGATGGGAAACTTAACTCCGTGAAATTGATGTTAAATGACAGGGTTGACAAAAAACCTGAAGTTATTTTTTGATCTTTGACGACAATTTAAACTTGGTTATTTATTTAAGCTATTACATTGAAAAAGGGATGGTGTGGTTGAGTGGTAGAGCATTCAACTGCAAACTCAAAAGCTCTAGTCCATAGAATGTCCCCTGAGTCCACCCAGCTCTGGTGGATACCTGACTCAGGTTAGGGAAAGTAAAAGCGGCTGGACATAGTGCTGACCACACTATTCTTTCATAGGCCAAGGTCACAAAAACAGGTGAACTAAACATCACCTGCCCCATTTTCCCGATAAGATTCGAAAGGTACTTACTTAATTGTAAAGCAAAATAATAAAATAAAAGGGAAAATAATTATATCTATCGTGTTATTTTAAAATACGGATGTACATTTCATAATAATGTTACAACAATTTAATTATTTTAAAATATTACAGTGAATGTACATTTTACTTACCAGACAGACTAATGGCAATGCTAGATAAAAGGGGTATAAAAACCCTGATATGATACTGAGAAATATAGAACCTGGAATGGCAAATGTTTGTAAGCTGTGTCGTGTTAAAGAAAAAAAATACATCATTTTTTTAAAAGCACAACATTTTATAAAAAAAGTAAACTTCAAGAAAACAAATATTAAAAAAAAAAAAAGGTAATATGTTTAAACTTTTGGACAATGGACAAAAAAACACCCCAATGATAATAGATTGAGGTCAAAACAACTTTTGTTTATCATTAATGTTGATTGTCTAAACATCTACATAGGATTTTTTTTCTCTAAATATTGATTAATATTTCATATATTCAATTTAATGCAGCCATCTAAATAAGCTTTGAAAAGAATACTGATAATCCATTCACAAGCACAAATGAACTATTGATTATTTAAACAAAAATGTGCATGTACTAAAATTGATTTATCTTCTCTTTCCTACAACCTGTTGTCACTAGACTACTGCACCACTTGTGTAACAGATGGCTCAATGTATCTGAAACTAAACCTATTTTATAATTTGTTATCTGGCTAAAAGATTGAGCATAAACAAGTTGTCTGGGTTTTACAATTATAATCTTGTTTTAACCTGATGAATAGAACATTAATTTACCCCAAACCTAACCTTAAAACTAGCACAACCCAAAACTACTACTTTACAGTTATTCTCAGTGAAATTCTCAATTTGTTGTTTTTTTCTTTTCTAGAAACTATAATTTCTTTATTGTGTCTTTAAAATTATACATTTTGTTTTATTTCTTCATTTATTTGTACACATTTTGTTGTTTAACATCTAATTTTGACATTTCACAATTTGTCTAGTTAGTGCTTGTCCTTCTGAATGCCTAGTCAAAGTATGGAATAAAAATGATTACTTGAGGCATTTCCTACTTTGCATGAAAATGATGCATACCTATAACGTGTCAAGGCAAAGTGTTGAATGCCTGCCTTTTTTTAAAACTTTCACATTAGTAATTGAACTCAACTTTCATCTCCAACTGAATGTTCAATTTTTCTGACAACATTTTAGAAACAGCTGTTTGAAGATATCACCATATGTAGTTCATATATATTAAAACAACAAGTAACTGAAATCAATCTAACAACATAAAATTTGGTAAAGGATACAATATATAGACAACAAAAAATCCCATTAATACTTGATGGTAGTATTTTTCTTTGTACCGATGTAAAATTTGACCCAAGTTTTTGGCATCATCAATATTCCTTGGTACTTTAATGTATTGAGCTTCATCCCTGAAAAATATAAAAAGAGGTTTTAAAGATAACAATTAAGTTTAAGGAAGTTTACCAAAATACAATAATTAATTCCATCTAGTCTAGAAGGAAAGTAAAGCTGGCTGGTATAGTGCTAAACCCACTGTCCATTCATATGCAGAGATCATAGAAGCTGAACTCTACATCATCTGCCTAATGAATCGCCAGATGCAAAAGGATAAGTTTCTTTACAGCCTAAATTGATATTTAACAATTTAAAGTAAATCCTTTTTAGAGATGTCTGTCTTTATAAAAACACAATGTATTTGCACATATTATAATTTTAAAATGACTAGCAAATAAGAATCACTAGCTTTAAAAAAAAATGGATGGGACATCAGTACATTTTGTTTTTTAACATGTAAATGAGACAAATTCTATGGTTAATATTTTAAATAAAAAAAATAAAAACAGATCATGGAGCTAATTTTAGAAGTGAGCTATGGATATTTCATAGTTTCTACCAGACAATTGGCCTTGTTCTAATGTAAGTCAAAGTTAAGTGATTGCCATTCTTTTACGTAGAAAAAAAATCATCAGGATGCATGAGTATGTAGTCTGATGACCTTCATAATGATCTAATTTCTGTTGTTTTAGTTTTTAGCATACCAAACACTAAAATCTCAACATACATAACTAAAATAATTTAATGTTAGAACTTACTCCTCCAACTTTGGAAAGTTTGCATAAACCACAACCAATGCCAATAAGGCACAACAAAAAATGAGCGCTAGTATTAAAAGAGCATTTCTTGTGCTGCCTAACTTTTCAATTGTTTCATGTTTTGTATTTTCTACACTGTTGTTTGGTATATCTGTTTCTTCTTTCAACTGTGTCAAACTTTCACTGGCTTGTTCATTAGCATCTGAAAATGTAAATAAAATGTATATAAGAGAAATGCTATGCTGACGGAGACATGGGATCAAAACATATCTGAGTCCATTGCATTGTACCTGTTATTGGCTTCGAGTTTGCTTAAACCTCATTGCAGCTACTATTTTTATTTATAAAGCTAATGACCTACCCTACCTCACCTGCCAAAATAAACAGGCTGATAAATACATTAAAATACAGTTATTTACAGTGCTCAAGGCGTTTACTCATGTTTCAAACAGTTAATTGTTTCATTTTGACCTACACATGTGCACAGCATAGTGTTAAGGTATTCCCCAAATGTGTACTTTTTTGGTATAAATTTTACTCCATTAAACAGTACATGGAGCCTATAAAGTATATTTATTATTCCATATACAAAGCAGGTATCAATAAAATACAATTGCAAATAAAAAAAGCTATGTTAAATTATAATGACATATATTGATTGGTTTCACTCATAAAGAATAATGGTCTCTTCTATGCAAGCAATGGAGAATTCTATAACCTACATCATAAAAAAATAAAAAAGGCCAAATGTATTCAGTCAGCTATTTGTAATTTGGATTCTGTACGACATAATAAGAAGGGAATGCTGTGGGAACTGTACTATTTCAAAAGGTCTAGGGGCATATAAAAGTAATTTACAAAAACATTTTTTAAAAATATAAAAATAACATAAATAGTAAATATTATTAATGTATTAATTAATTATCAACTAATGAGCCTAAATCTTAACCATGTCTAAAACTGAAACATAATAACATTAATTCATGATTTCTCCCCGCCCCCCCCCCCTACACCTCATCATAGGCAATAAGAGTTTGAAATTAACATTAAAAGATTAAGACACCCCCCCCCCCCGTACTATTAGGAGTAGCTTTATTAATTTTTTTTATATATAGATAATATAATTATATAAATATATACTAGCTGTCCCGGCCAGGCCCTGCACTGGCATCTCTGAAAAACGTATCTGTAAAGGACCATAACTTGTGTGTTTAGTAATCAGCATTTACCCGGCATTGCCCACCCTAACCACAACCAACCAAAACACAAAAAAAAATGCAAACATAACACTAACACAAATACAAATACAAACGCAAAAACAAACGCAAGCACAAAGAAAATACAAACGCAAAGAAAAAGCTAGACAGAAAATCTCTTTTGTTTTGTTTTCATATAATTGAGCTCTACAAGAATATGTAATTAGTAATTTTTATTTGATGATTAGTGTTTTTTTACCAAAATCCAAATTTAAAGTATTAACTTATTAATTAATTATTAGGCCTAATACTAATTATTATTAAGTAGTAGGCCTAATACTAATAGTAATAAAATAACTAATAACTAGGGCCCTAATTTTAAACTAATTTACATTTTTAAAGTAGGTAGCTGGTAGGGGCCTACAGTAGAACTAGTTACTAGATATTGATATAGATCTAGTTAGAATTTTCATTCAGTCCGACTAGTAACTAGATGATCTAGATTAGAATTCTAGATCTAGAATCTAAATCTAGATTCTAGATCCGAGTGAATGACTGTGAGTGAGGTGAGTGTGACTTTGTTAGACTTGTACTAAAACTTGTATACTTACCATACATTTTAATGATTTTATGGATGTACTCTAGCAACAATTCAAAAATATAAGGTTAGATGACTAAATATAGATCTAATATCTAAGGTTGATCTAGATCTATTTTTTTTACTCCATTAAAATGTTCGAGAATACGGTCTTACGAATCCATTTATTTTATAATTAGGCTATTCTAGATATGATCGAGTTGTCTATCCTTTTTTTCCGTTTGTGAGTTCCGGGATAAAATTAAAAAATCTATTCGTCTTTATTAGTTTTTATTTTTATTAAATATTGTAAATATAGATATAGACTATATACCATACCATGTTGTATAAATAGTTAGTTTAATTATATAACGTTAGTCGGCAATGTTCTTATTAATTTCTTTTTTAAATAAATAAATCTATCATTTGTGCTAAGTTCAAGTCTTAAGATAGCTAAAATATATTTAACGTAATTTAGGCCCATATAAATAGGCTGCATAACTTCTAGATCTACTAACTAAAACACTGGACACGATGATGTCGCCTTTAACCCCCCCCCCCCTCGTCACAAAGTCAGATTCCCCCCTCCCCTAAAATGACTTCACACCTCAGCTTGCCACCACTCCTCAAGCACTGGCACTTGTTTGTTTTTTTAACAGCCATTTCTCACAAATAAAATTACTAGATCTAAGTGCTGAAGCTAATAAAGAATGCAAAACATAATGCCAAGTGACATCAGATAAAAGTCTAGAAAAAGCAACTGGACATTGTTGTGGCAAAACAATCCCTTAATAGTAGGTCTACCTGACATGGGTTGCTTACATTACAAGTGGTCCTAAGTGAGGTCTACTTTATGTGCCCCATTGGCCATCTGGTCGGGGAATATATATACAAACACAAACTTCTCTTTGTAACTGTTAAAAATGTTAAAGTCATTCACCTTTCTTGCTGTCATTCAGGCTCTGCCACACTGCATTCTAATGTTATTTTAACAATGTGAATAAAACTAAAGTTTCCACTGTTATTATAAAGAACTATTTGTTGTTGGCAATTTTGTTTATGACAGATGAATTCTGAATATCCTCCTCATTGTAGTCTTGTACACGAACACTTTGTTTTAGTTCCATTTTTCTTTCATTGATTATGAACTTAATTAGCCCATACTCAGTTTTGCTTATCAGATATGTTAACCTTGTAATAGAAGTATTGTATACACATTATTTTCAGTGCAATTACATTCAGTACTTACCCAAAGACACAATAATAGTAACACCCAACAACTTTAACTTTAAATATTTTTTTGCATCTTTCAAATTTTATACATTAAAGTAGGTCTACCTGTTTAATTTTAAAAGTCAACATGTTATGTTTTATTCTGAATAACACTGACAAAAGTAACATTAATAAATTACATTTCACTGTGTTTTAGTTTGTTTTAGTTCCTTAAGACTACTTGGGTTTATTTATGTAATCAAAAACAAATTTTCAGAGAAATCACAAATGGTTACATAACTTATGTAAAGCCTGATAAGAGAGAAATAAAACAACTCATACAAGTGTAAAAAAATATTACAAATTTTAAATAATAAGAAATGAATATTTTTGTTTTTAATTTGTATAATATGCACTTTATTTTTTAATGTTCGGTGGTAATTTATCATACAAAATCTTATTGTCATAGTATTTTTATTTAAACAAGACAACAAGACAGTTTCACTTCCATGTGGCTTGTGATCCTCTACGATTATCTTTGGCAAAGCCTCTTACATTAAGACTTGGAACCCCTGCCTTTGTTCGTAGTTCTTGAGTATGTTGGTCCATGGCAGCCAGCTCTTCATCATACCTTTAATAAACAAATTACTTTTTTTTTAAGCAATCAAATAAAATGCAGCTTAAGCTTATTAAATTGTATAACATTTTACACAAGTTTTCAAGTTAACAAGCATTAAAAACAAGCATGTTTCATCTTCATTTACAAAAAAGGTTACAACTGTTGAATCTACCTAAAATTAAAAATTATCAATCTAGTTTACATAAGAGTGAATAGGCCAACAAGGCCAGGTGGTGGAGAACTCAACTGTTAACCCAAAACTCTTAAGTCTGCACCATGTCCCTGAGTTTACTCAGCTCTGATGGATACCTGACTCAAATTAGGGAAATAGTAGATGGCAGGGCATAGTGCTGGCTGACCACACAATCCTTTTAGATAAAGTGGTCAAGATATAATTAAATGTAGGCTCACTTCATCTGCCCTGTGGAGAATGCCGGGTCAGAAAGGGGACTTTTTTTTTACATTTTAAACATGCATTGTTCTTGCCTAATAAATAAATAGTTTAGAAAATAAAATTATTCTTACAAAACATCAAAATGGCCAAGGTTTTCCTGATCTGGTACTTTGCTCCACCTGACACTGAAACAATTTTTGTCAGTTTTTAAAACTATTGTAAAAATATATTGAAAGTTTATAAAACTAAATAAAAAATAGAATTATTAAAAAAAAAAAAAAACCTTGCTACACAACAATGTAGCTAATATTAAATAGGAGACTGCATGGTTGGACAGTAAAGCACATGGCTGCTAACCCAAAAGTCTCTAGTACAAATCCTGGGTTAATGTCCATAGAATGTCCCAGAATCCAACCAGCTCTTGACTGATGTTAGGAAAGTAAAGATGGCTGGGCATAATGTTGGCTACACATACCTTTATATGCTGAAGTCAATGAATAATGTACAATAAGATTCAAAGGAGTAAAAAATGTTCAAACATTAGTGTATACTTACTCTGGCATTTCACCAGGGGGTATCACAATGTTAATCACATCTGATATCAATCTGTATTTCATGATCCGATCACTAGATGTTGTGGCAGATAAGGAGGGAGAGGCATTTACCTAGAGCAAACCAAAACAGAATTCAACATTTTAGAAAAGAAACAGAAGAATGTTGAATAACATTGCACAATGTGTTAAAAATTATGTTATAATTATAAACAAATAAAGTAAAATACTCTTTCTAAGCATAAGCCTATTCACTGCAACTTATAAATGAATCTTTTTTGTTAAGTCTATATTTTTAAGAATAAATTTATTTTTAAAAGATATATTGCAATAAATTGAGTTCATTACCTCTATGAGCCAAGGTTTTAAATTGTCATCAATTATAATGTCATATCTGTATAAATTTAAAAAAAAAACATTTTAAATTCACAATTTTTGAAATATATAGAAGAAACATTTTCAGAAAGCTTGATTACACACATTTTGAGCTGCTAATTATCTAAATTTATTTTTACATGAAATTACTGATAAATAACTTGTGTCCTTGATTTTATACCACTGAACTACAGGAGTATTTTTAAGCCAATTATAGTGAAATAAATTTATATATATGCTCATATTCCATCATTACTAATTGTTTACAATTGTACAATTTACAAATGAGCATTTTTCAAAGATTTTCTAAATATAATTAGCTAGGCTTCTCCAATAATGTTTTAAAATTACATGAATAGAATATTCAGTTAAATTACCCATAACATTCAAAGCAGTGCCTGTCATTTGATACAACACCCTAAAACATAAATAACATGAACATTATTAAATAATAGATACATGTTAAACTTAATCTACACAGCTGTGTTTTAAAATCCTCAACATTAAAAATTACCTTTAATGATAATTATACAAATATATATAAGTATACTTACAGCAACAGCTTTTAGGGAATGGACTGTTAGCCAGTTAATTTCATCAAAAAGTTTGTCCGAGACTTCTTTTCCTCTTGTACTTTCTAGAAAAAGTCTCAGGTTTTGTGTAGTCCATTTCCCTCCATGAATAGCATTATATTCATCCTAATTAATAAAACAGTAATATGGAGTTCTGGTTTAAAAGATAATGATTGTGTGTCAAAAATGGTAGCTTTAACTATTTCTCTTATATACAACATTGTTTAATATTTAAAATATATCTTAAAGACAATACATTTTTCTGTTGTATTGAAGCATACAATAGTCTTTTACTTTTATGTTAGTTTTTGTCATTTTTTAGAAAGAATCTTGAATTCATTGTTGTAAAAATTATGCTCTTCTATGCAACAGAAATATCTTTTTAGATTAACGTTTCCATTCTTTCTTTAAAAAATTAAAATTCTAATAACATTCACTTAAGTATAACTGCTGTCTAAGTAATTTCAAAAACTATTTTACCCCTTGTTTTTGTATAGACACATTTGTTAGATGAACAAACATATTATCCAGTTCATTCAAGCTTGCATTATATTTCACTGTACAGAAACGGCAGAAACCCAATCGATACCTGTAAAATCATTGTAAAACAATGAATATAATGTAAATATATTTAGCAAAATGGATTATGGAAAATACTTTATTAACATAATGCATATACATTTAGTAGAAAAAATGTTTTAACACTGAGGACTCAATACATTTTTAAAAGTTAAATTCAAGAAATATACATAAACAAATTATTTCTTCAAATGAAAAATAAAAATGTTTTCTTCTAGATATATAAAACCCTCTTTAAAACCAAGGTTTAAAAAACTAAACTCACATGTAACACTTGAGAGGTCTGAATGATGTCACCAAAACATACAGCCTCAAATCAAATTTTTTACCACCAATAAGAAGTGGGTTGTCAATGTACTTTGATATCACATAAGTCTCTTTTGCTGTTGGAGGTGTAAAGCTGTGATTCAAATAAATAAAATTAAAATAAACTTTTACTTTTTTCTAACCAAGATTGATAACATTTGTGCTACCTGATTAGCTTAGAATATATGTATATTTAAAAAATCAATTAACACATATCTTACATTTTAAATTAAAAAAAAGAAAAAAAAAGAAAATTATAATTCTACGATCAATTGTTATTTACCATTACAATATAATATTATTTATACTTTACAGCTTTATTACTTACGAATTCCCTTTTCCATCTCGCGACCATTTTTTTAACTGTGACAATTTATTAACTAAAAAGATACCAATGCCACGAGCTGAAATTGAGAATTTTTTTATATTGAATTTTGTTCAAATAATTTTGTTCCAAATAACATAAAATCATAACTTAATGTTTTTTTTTTTTAAAGAGGAATCACTTAAAACTTGCTTGTAATGATTATTCAAAAAATTACCTTTGCCACATGGTTTCATTATCCAAGTAGTATTTGGATTTTTTCTAAACTCTTCAACAAAAAGATTATAATCTGCTGGTAACATGAATGTTTGCGGAATAAAGTCTGTAGAAATTAAAAAAGAGTTTGTAAAAACAAAATATATTAATCATAAAGTAGGTATAACCCAATAGAATGTCACTACCTTTCTTCAATAATAGATAAACAAAATTGACAATCACATAAGACATTGCAAACCTAAGTGTACAAAGCGTCCAGTCTCATCTTTCTCAGATACAGGACTTGCTTCCTTCTCCAAATCTTTGCGATAGCGTTTAATGTTCTTCACCATTAAATCTTTTCGTGTAAGCTCTACATGATTTGGAAAGTGGTTGATAACCCTAAATTTCAAAAGCAATAGTTTAAATTAAAATCATCATCATTAAAAAATATTTATTGAAAATACTTATTCTTCAATTTGATACATGTTACTTTTCAATATTATTTATCCCAAAAGAATTCCTTGATCTTTAGAAATTTTAATTAGTACTTGAATATTTGCACTAAATTAATCATGCAACTCATTTTAGTTTAAAATTTAGATCTAACTATTTTTCTATCTCTAGCTAAAGAGGAAAGAAAGTACTGTTTTATCATTTTCAAAGCAACAACAAAAATTAAACCTCATTTAATAACTTCACTCACTGATCATCTTGAAGTCTGAAGCCTGATTCAACACTGAAAACATTTCTAATATTATGTACTCCAGCCCTGTTGAAAAAAAAAGATTATTTTTAAGGTGAAAATTAAAAAATATTTAACTCTTATGACTTGACATTACGGTACTTGAAAGAAAATGAAAGTTCAAAACCCTTATATTTCTATTAACTTGAACTAATTATTGTAATTAAACAATTATAATATTGATTCTAACTATAAAAAATAAAGAAAATTGTATGTTAACATTTAAGCAATTTAGGTACTATCACTAACCAATAAAAGTTCCAGTCATCTTCAGGGCCCACTTGGATCCAACCGCGATTTTCAAAATTATTTAGAAGTACAGATTTGTCAAAGTCTGATGCGAATTTAATACGTGCCATGTTGAATAATTACCTTCTTCAAGTTGAAAATAATTAGATCTAGACTCTATTAATAATATTTATTTAATTATTGGAAAAGCACAAGTTCATAATCATAGTTCATAGCTTTGACTTCAGTCACTCAGTTTGTGGGATAGAAATAGAAGTTAAAAGAACAGTTTGATTTTACTTGCTGATGGCTTCCAGCTTAAGTCTTCTTAACCCAAATCTTATCTAATTCAGAATTCTTCTCACGATGTGACTATAAACAATAAATTAAAATTGATTATTGATACTTTGATACTCTGTGTCCGCATCCAGTAAATTAATACTAGACTCTAGATCTAGATTTACTAGATCTACACTCACGACACTGATTCAGCTGTGATTCTTACGGCACACGGGAAATGGCGAGTAAAGGTAAAACCTTGTAGATCTAAATCAATTAATTAATTATCAAATATAATTTTAATGAGCCCAACTGCGTGACTTGCATATCTATAATCTATTTTTATTATTTTGAACTTATCGATTCAAACCATTTTAAAATGCGATTGTTATTTTAATATTGTTACTATAGTAACATACCAAAAGCAGTTTCCTCTAAATATCGAAACATAACAAGCACACCGAGAACACTTTTCTGAACTGTTTTGATTGAGCAATTTTATAAACGCATTAAACACGTCTTTAATCTTTTTAATAAAAAAATTAACGTAAAAGTAAAAGATCTAGAATCTAATTAATTAAAGTAAAAAATCAAACATTAAATACTGTAAATTAAATATTGTACACTAGTACTAGATTCTAGTTGTGTTTATATTAGGCCTAGTATTTGGCAAGGTTCTGAAATTCTTATCTGGCCTTGTAGAATAAATAATAATGGACCGCATATCAGATAGAATCTAGATCTAGACACCTATACCTAAACTATAAACTATAAACAATCGAGTTCTATAGTTCTATAAGTTAGTCTACTAATAATCTTGATCTCCATGGTTTAGTAATAGCAGACGAAGTTACTTGTACGTAGATCTAAATACTAGTAAATAGTTTGTAGTACTAGATCTAGATTCCTAGAGTAGATCTATTAATTAATTAATTAAATTAACGTGTTAGACTAGCAGCCTAGCAGGCAGAACGAACTGGGGTGTCCTCAACGAACCGCCGCGGCGTTGTTGTTTTTATGTTTTATAATTACATGACTGATTTGAAATGATTATAATAATTAATATTAATTAATACCTGGCATAGAGTTATCAATTAAATTCATAAACTCAAAACAATAATAATATTGAATAGGGCCTATTATTATAATTATATAATCTATATATATAATTCTCCTCTTCGAGCCGTTAGAAAACAAGCTGCAAACGCTCTCCCTACCTCCCCACCCCTACATGGTTTTAGTGAGCTGTGTTCACTCTAAATGTTTACAAGCAGAGCCAACGATTTTAAACGTAGGGGGGGGGGGGGGGGTTATGGTCCTTAACGAGCTACTTATAGTGTTTTAAAGAAATATTTTCAGTGTCAGCGTTGGTACTGTCGAATTCACAAATTATGAATTATTGAAAATTAGAAACAACTAAATAGCGGCGTATGTTATGCCGCGGGCCGGCTCGTAATATATAAATAAACAATCTCCCTAAATTGGCCTAAATACCTAGTAAATACTAAATACTCTACATTTATTTTTACAGACTCCACAATTGATACAATTACAATGGCCACGGAAAGAGAAGAGACTTCACTTTTAGAATTCACAGACCAGCCTTGTAAGGGGGACAGAAGCTTTCTGTGGACCATTATGAAAACTGAAGAAGAAGAAAGCTTTGATTTCACACTTCTTAGTGGACAGAGTGTCTGGGAGGGATCATGTAATTTTTTTTCTTCCCATCAAACCTTGGTTTTGATAATTTCTCACAATAAGTACCGTTTTGTATGTACATTTTGCTATCAAATCCATAAACAAAATTACTGGTAATGGATGTTGCACATATAATTTGATGTGAAGGTGGTAGAGGGTGGTTTATCATTTGTTATTTTGTGTTTTGCTGGGTGGGGGGGATAGAAAGCAATGTTATACATTAATATTTAAGTTATTATTTGTGCAATTTCTTTTCTTTTGGAATAGTTTGATGACTTTGAATTAGTTTAGAAAACTACATTATTTTCTTTCAATAAATTAATAGCAATAAGTTTATTTTTTTTATTTTCATTAGATTAAATATAAATATTGTCAGTAAGATAAATAATTACATTTTAAATTGATTTTGTTTTAGTTTAAACACTTTGCCTGAATTCATTAAAAATAATTTCATGTGTGAAACTAAATATAGACAATTAGGACAACTGCTTTATTTTAATGCAACGTTTTTAGTTTTAATCTAACCATATACGCCACAGTTTCCTTGATATAGTTTTTAAGTTTTTATGTGTACTCTCTTTATATTATTCCCTTCATTTAGAACATAATGACAACGATTAAGTTTTTAATCTTTTTTAAACAAGATCAATGTAAATCACTTAGCATCTACTAACTAGATTACAAAGCATTGCACGCTTTCAAGTTAAACACATGTCTTCATTTTAAAATCTATATTTTCTAATCAAAATATAATAACATTAAATAAACAAGTAAAAAAAGAAAAACCAATTGTATTTATATATACAAATGTAATGCCTCCTGACCTGTCCAGACTGATAATTTCCCTATAAAACCTTTCTTAAAATGTAAACGAAACTAGAGGCTGCTTCTGTTATTTTATACATGAGAGTCAAACTACAATTTGTATTATATTATACTATGTAATAGATTATTTCTTTTCCTTTCAGTATCATTAAAGGACATGAAGCAACAAAGTGATGAAATACGGATGGAGTTAAGTCCCTTCATAGATACTGCCAAAGCTGCATTTCTACAAGATGGTGAATCTTCAACTTTCCAGTGTACTTTATCAAACAGCAAAAAAGATTCTATATTGTTAACTTGGAAAAAGCAGTCAGAGGATGTTAAAGTAGGAACATTAATTAATATAAAAATAATAATTTTGTTACTTTTTGAAATTAAAGTAAAATTTAAGTACAAAAAATATGGTTTTACAAATTTTTTATTTCTATTATTTAAAAAAAATGTAATAGGCTTGCACACATTTTTTGTAGTTAATTGTTTTATTATTCTACATGCATACTTTTCATAGGACTTGGAATTCATATTAACCTTTTCATATATTTTTAAACAGTTTGTCTATATGCAGTTATCTTGTGATTTCTTTAACTATATAACAAATATCTTGTTGGAATATATTGTTGTTCTAAAAATTATGATTTTAGTTAATTTAGTATTTAATGTATTTCTGCAAACATTTTATATGAGTTTTAGTTATTCAGGCTTATTTAGGCTACTCATATATTTCATAAGTATTACTTTTTTAAAAGTTTAAATTAGGGTCACTGATGTTGAAGAAATGTGAGAACTTATCTTCCAAAATCTGTGATATTTTGAGCGATTGTGTAACCCGCCTAAATTCTTTGCATTCTATGAAATTGGAAAATCAAAGATTAACTTTAGAAAGACAAAATGCAATCAAGGTATGAAGATTGATGTACTAAATATATTAACCATTATAAATGCACTTTACAATTAACATACTAACCATAATTAGTATGTGAAATAGGTTTTTTATATGTACCCCCACATATTTATTTCAAATATACAACTACAACAAACATTTACTTTTACTTTTATTCACTATTGCATGAGTTGCAGCATTGTTATTATGTTTTGTAACTATTCTTTAAAATATATTCACATAATTAAGTTTGCACTTTCATTTGGAAAATGTGTGGTTAGCAATACCATAGTATGTTTGAATTTAATAAAAATGCATTACTTAAAAGTTTTGAAATTTACAGAAATTAGAAAAATGTGTTCAAGCAAAGGAGGAACTTGAAAAGAATCTTTATTCTAAGGTATTCAATTTGTCTTTAGATGTTTTACCATTAGTTGCCAAAATTCTGATTTATCTTATGGCCTATATTATAGTTGACTCAGGCAGTAACTTTTAAAATCACATAAACTGTATACTTTTTGCTATGTAAAGATTAGTTTGAGAAAGTTGTTTCCTGTGTCATTTGTAATGTTATAGTTTCATTTGTTCGATTTTTTTCAGTTTGTTGCAGTTTTAAATAGCAAAAGAGAGAAAATCCGTGAATTAGAAAATAATGACCATGAAGGTAAATAGTATTTCATTTAAAAAATTTCCATTCGATTTTCTGCAAAATTGTATCATTAAATAAAAATTGAGTTAACTTTTTTTGAGATTGTATCTCAGTAAAGGTGTTCGAATTTTTTTCAGAGCAAGAAATTGTAGAAAAAGATTTAGAGCCAGTAAAAAGAAAAAGTGACAGGTAGGACAATTTTTTAAAGAATAGTAACTATTTGGCATTTATTCATAGTGTATACTTATTTATATTCTTTAAGTCTTCTTACTGGAATCATAAAAATAAACATTTCAAATTTTAAAAAGTAGTATAGTATAGGCATTAATTTTATACACAATTAATGCTATATACATTGTTAAAAAGTATGCCCTTATTAAATATTCTGCATTATACTTTTATTAAAAATCTTTTTCAGAGACTTACTCAGTATTTCTACTAAAAAAGTGAGATTTATTTATAATTTGTTCTCTAAAACACATCACTTGTGACACTTTTAAATACATATTTTATTAAAATAAATAATATTTATATCCATCAAATTTATTTTTGTTAAGATTTTAAATTTTAACTTACATTAACAAATTGCACAAAAAAAGTTCCACATTTGATTAGGTGTCTAACACAGTATAATCAAATTTGACAATGAAATATTTAATCTTCCTAAACTAGGTTAAATCCAAAAGGGATGAAACACCTCCAGATCTTGATTCTTCACTAAACCTTGACATTGACCAAACAGAAGAGAGAAATAATCCAATTGTAATCAGGTAATGTGATAAAATATAATTTTTAAAGAAATATTTAACTACCAAAGTGTTTTTATTTTATTAAATATGCTTCATTGTGAATTTGTTAAATTTTTTTGTTTAGATTTTAAAAATGTGATTTGTATCAAGTTTTTCAACTTGATGTAACCTAAGAAAATTCATTTTGTTTTGTAGCTAAAATAATGAGTTCTTCAAGCATGTTAATAGTGTGGTTGTATGTTTGCCTCTGTAATTTTAGGAGCCGAGCAATAACACAAACAAGAAAAGGAGCATCATCCAAACTTATATTACCAACAGTTTCCACTAACAGTTCAGTCAATCTGTAAGTTGTCTTCATTGTGAAGTGTGTTCAGTATTTGATTGATCCAGGGAGGTTACTTGTTGATTGTAGTTATCTATCCACCAGCCGCATATCTCTAAAAGTATTGCAGTGCTTGAAGAAACTTTTGTATTTTCTTAATAGATAGACATAGCAGAGCCTATTTTAGAAGTACCATAATTATGTTTACTTACCAATATTTTATCTTATGCTAAGAACTCAGGTTCATAGGCCCTTAAAGAGTAGTACAATTGTGATAATCTTTTTAGTTGAGAGCATTGTCCAACTTTTGTATATCTGAACTTGTTAATGCAGATTATATACTAAATTAATTTATATTCATTTCATTATATAATGCATCAATTGTAAATGTAATATTATGAATTGGGTAATAAGTAGATTAAAATAAAATATTTTTTTTGTACAGGCAAAGAAAGTCAAGCTTGAGGAAGAGTGGTTCCAATAAATCATCTGACAATTTGGATCCAGAGGATTTGTTAGATAATTTTTAGTTCTTTAAAAAACAATTCCTTGATTGGCTCATCATCCCTTGATATATTGATTTTTGCTCAACCTCTTCCCCTCCATCACCTGGAATTACTGAACTGATTACAATTGAAAACAAAATATATTTAATTTAAAATTACTTAATAATCAATTAAGTATAGTGAAATGTTTGAAGAATCAATGGGGTCCTGAAGTTTTTATTAACATTACTAATTACTCAACGAAATTTTCCTGTTGTAAATAGTAGTTACCTCCCTGCAAAAATCTTTGCAGGAGATTTTCTGCTATTCTCAGTCAATATTTTCCTGTTATCTTTAGTTTTAAACACTATTCTCAGTCAATATTTTCCTGTTATCTTTATGCTTTTGCTGGCCTCCTTAGTTGGTTAAAAAGCTGGATTTTTTAAATGTCCACAAGTTATATAAAATATACCCTTGGTACTTAAAATTGTGTTCTTCTGAACTATAACTCCAATATTTTTACACCAAGAAGCTTAATCCAAAAAATGTGTTCTTGGCTCACATATTTTAGATCAGCTATCTGTTATTTGCATTCCATTCCATCAATAGTTGTGACTCTATTCATTATCATATTAGGCAAGTGATTTTAACACCAAATAAAATTGATAACCTTTTTGTTATAAATTCATGTAACTTAACCATACCTATGTGATTTGAACCCATGTATAATTTAATGTAACAAAGAGTAACAATTTCATTTACACTATTTTAAATTTATTTTTTACATTTGAAGAGCTTTTTTAAAAAAAAATGTATTTTGCATAGTTTTTAAAACTATTTAAAAAAAATAATTTGTAAAATTGTAAAAAAAAAAATCTTTGTTAATTTAATTAATAGCTTACAAGAGTTGTATGTTCTATTATTAATTCCTATGTAAATATTTTAAAATGAGCTAAGCAAATGTTATTTCTCTATACCAGTACTTAGAAGGCTTAATTTATGAAAAGCTTCTCTCTTTATGTAACCAGATATACACCACCAGTGTATAATTTGTAACCATTTTACTATTAGACTAGCAACCTTTTGTTCTTCAAATCTTCAATAAAAAAAACTTGTAAACATAATTATTGTACATGTTTTATTTTTAAAACATGTACTTGCATATATTTTTAAAAATATCTAACTAATGTTATTTTATTTCAAATTACTTGTTGATTTCTATTTCAAATTATGCATTATGATTGAATAAACTAATTATCACTGTAGTTTTATTATTATTTTTTGCTGATTTTTGGCAACATGATTTTAGTCTATTAATTTGAAGAGTTGGACTCAACACTGGATAGATTTTTTTCTTTACAGTATTCCAGCTAAATTAATATGCAACTCATGGTAAACTTATTTTTCTCTGTATGACCAAAAGATGAAAATTAAAGAAATCTATTACCTTGTTCTTTTTGCAGAGCATAACAAGAAATTTTGAAGAACAATATTTGGTAGAACAATTGTCAATATTTATTGGATAGAGGTAGTAACCATCAATGACTAAACACTCTGATTAGAGGTTCATAAATGTGATGTCACATTTGAGTTAAAAAAAACATTCTTTTAAATTAGATAATAGCAGTTTTTTTGTTGTTTTAGAATGTGTGTTTTTTTTAAATCGCAATAAATATTGATTAGACAGTCCAACCCAATGTTGAGCCAGCGCAGTTAATAGTTAAGAAAATATATTCCTGAGCTGCCTGCAAACAAAATATGGTTTTTGGGGAGAAGAGGGATTTAAGCTGAAGTGTGACGTCATTTTAGTAGTCTGACTTTGGTTGACGATAGGCAGCCTAGGGGGAGGTAAAAAAAAAAAGCGTCCTATGATAGGTTACCCCCCACCTATCGACACTAGACCATCCCGATCCCCAACCCAAACGTCGTTAGGCCTATAGTTTTACAGGGCATACACCTCTCTCCAGATAAACAAATAGATCTAGAAATAGAGAAGTGCGGCTTTACGGACTGCTCATAATAAAATTAATAACCAAACCACGTAGATCGTGGACTGCAGTCTATTCAAAGTTGTTTTACCATGTTATCAGCAGATAGTTTAAAAGAAAAGGAAAAGCTAGTTATTGTAAATAAATAAAGTAAATACTAAATAGGGTCTATTGTATTTTATTACCATTCGTTATTATAGGATCTTATGCAATTTATTCAAATTCTCGAAAACTATTTCACTCTATAATGCTATATTATTCATAGCCTGGTTATTTATTATTGCAGTTCAAAACCCAATATTTTCATTAGACAGTTTATTAGTTTGAAATCAATGGATTTAACAAAAAAGAAAAGAGTGGGTTGCTGTATAACAGACTTTAGTAAACGTTATTACGTATTGAAAACCCTTGCCATACTATTTTATAAGAGACCCACGCTTTTCTTAAAGTAGGCCTACTAGATCTAGATCTAAACTAGATTCTACAGTTATTTAAATAGTTGTGCATTATTAAATATTTAAAGTAATCGATTTTATTTTTCCATTTGTTGTGTTCTCGCCAAGCCTAACGGCATTTTTTTCCCATGCTGTTGTTTTTTCCTTTCTGAGGCCACACCGAAAATAGTCATAAAATGCAAATGCCAACAGATACTGAAATAGAAGCAGAATTCCCCAAAGTACTGGCCAAGTGATGTCTGCGGAAAAGTATGGAACAACTCGTTCCGAAAGACTGCCCTTACACCGAGTCGACCTAGATTCTAGATTGTATCTTTTGTAAACAGTTTAGATTTATGTAGACTAGTCTGGATCTATTGGGAACACACTGTGATACGAAACTCTTATTGCATTTCATTGCCTTCATGTCTGGTTTGAATAACTTTTAAGTCATGAAGGCTGCGTTGCCAGTCTTTCTACTCCTAGCTGTTCTGCAAGGTGAATAATAATAATAAAATACAGTATTTAATACTGGGTAGATTAGATTTTTTAGAATAATAATTATTAAATTAATTAAATCTAGATCTAGATTTCTAGCTAGATCTAGATCTTCTAGATCAAGAATTTTAGAGTCTAGCAGCTAGATCTAGTCTAGATCTAGCTAGAGTCTAGAATAGATCTAGAATCTAGATTCTAGATCTACTTGACTAAACACTTGTGAATTTTCAGCAACTAAAACACTAAAACTGAATCTAGATTCTAGATCTAGAATCTACTTCTAAAGTCTTCTAGATTCTAGATCTTACTAGATTTAGATTATAGATCTAGAGTTCTAGAATCAATCTAGATCTAGCTAGAATGACAATTGCATTCATTAAGTTTAAGAGTTTAAAAATCAGTCCCAAGATTGGGTGAAATTATTATTTAGGGCCTACAGGAAATTATAGTCCTGAAGCCTAAAATTGTATATTTTATAATATAGGGCCTACAATATTCAGTGATTCAGGGGCCTTTTCTTAATGCCTAATCTAGGTTCTAGAATAATTATTTAGTAGTATCTAAAGCCTATATTATTAGTGTTTATTAGGCCTAATTAATTAGTAATTATCTACATTAATAGCAGAAAACGCAAACAGAGTAAAAACATTCATAGTCATACGAAAAACAAAACGTGACATCACATGGAATATAGTTGGTAGAAAATATCCTACAGCCGGGAAAGTACACACAATAAAAATACATTATTGATTCTTGAGTAAACAAGGGGAAAAAAAGCCAATTTTGTCTAATCTTAAAAGTGGTTTGCTTGCAACCCTCTTTTTTACCAGAAGAATTGAAGAATTTAATCCGCACCCCCCCCCCCCCCCAACGTATAGTGCCCCCTCCACGGAGAAAAAAAGTCTGAAAGAAAGTCTATTTCCATGCTTGAGGTTTAGCTGCCAAAAGTAGGAAACGTTTCTATATTATAAAAGTAGGCTAGTGTTTCTTGCAGACTTTTTCCTCCCCAGAGGGGGGTGGGTACTTGAAAAAATGTTCAGAGAAGTGGGGGGTGGGGTGGTTACTGGTGAAAGTATATTTTTTAAAATAAATTCTATGTCGTTATAGGGGTCAGTAAACTTTCTATGGGGGGCTCTGCCTTCACTCTCCCTAAAAATTACCTGCAAGAAACTCTAAATGCGACTTTGTCAAGTTTGAGCTTAGGTTCGAGGTTTAGGGGTATAACCATGACTATATTCAGTATGGATGTGCAGTAACTACATTAAGTTAGTTGAACCTAAACTTGTATTTTAAGTAGGCTTATAGTTGACCTACTGTAAAAAAAATGTCTTGGTCTATCCTATTTAAATTTATTTTAACACTTGACATATGAAAATAGGCCAAAGTTTGTGGTAATAATTATTATTATTTTTAAAAATTTTACTCTTACTAGACTAGAGTTCTCTTTAAGTTACAAATTATAAATAAATCTACATATTAAAAACACACTGAAGTTTTAAACAATTATCATTCTTAACAAAATTATTACTGTTGCAGCAAATTAATAATTTAAATAAAAAAAGGGACATTAATAAATATAAAATGAGTTTGAATCATTCACAGTTTTTTTTCTTCTTACTAGATGTCTCCAGAGTTAAAGGCATCAAGATGACTGACTGCAGTAACTGCTCATCCAGTGAGTTCATGTGTCGACCAAATAACTGCACATGCATTCCTAAAACTTGGGTTTGTGATGGTGAAGAGGACTGTAAAGATGGTAGTGATGAGATCAAAGAAGAATGCGGTTTGTAAAGTTTTGGAAAACATATATTTATAATGCAAACAATTCTAAACTTCCTGGTTCTTTAGGACTATGCCATACCACATTTTTCATGAATAAAGACTATTATAACTTTATAATACTATATAATTTTCCAAATACTATTTAATTAGTTAATTTCTAAATGTGCCCCAGGGTTACTTAATAATATAATATTTATTCAACCTCTAGAAAACTACAAATGTCCTGAGTTTGACTTCAAATGCGCTAATGGTCACTGTATTCAGATGATGTGGAAGTGTGATGGGGATAATGACTGCGGAGATCACTCTGATGAGTTGAGATGTCGTAAGTAGTTTAGATGTTTCAAATAGTTGAGATGTTGTAAGTAGTTTTGATGTTGTAGTTGAGTTGTAAGTAGTTTAGATGTTGTAAGTAGTTAAGATAATGTTGTTATTTCTGGTCTGAACTTCTGGCCATGGTGTAATCCCTCTTGGAATACTTTTGTATATTTTATTTTGTAGATCACTTAAAAATAAAAAAAAAAATAAAAAAAGTAGCATAATTAAAAAAATATCAGTACCCTTTCTACATGAATTAAAGCAGATTTTTGTATGCTCATACAATAGTTGCCAGTATTTATCTATTGTACTCTTTATGATTTATCAAAAGCTGTATGTTGGAATGTACTTATTACAGAGTGTAATAATGGTTCTTTTGAGATGATTTGGCTAATTAAATTTCCTGTGTAAACAGTTAAATTATACCAATGGCTGTTATCCAGAATGTTATTGTTTGAAATTTCAGCTCAGCAGAATTGTTCTAATGGGGAATTGCTGTGTAAAAATGGGCAGTGTGTACCACTAGAGTGGAAATGTGATGGCTAATTAAATTTCCTGTGTAAACAGTTAAATTATACCAATGGCTGTTATCCAGAATGTTATTGTTTGAAATTTCAGCTCAGCAGAATTGTTCTAATGGGGAATTGCTGTGTAAAAATGGGCAGTGTGTACCACTAGAGTGGAAATGTGATGGGGAGGACGACTGTGAGGACGGCACAGATGAAGAGTGTAGTAAGTTTTTATTGTCCATTTATGCAGTTGGTGTTTTAATTTGTTACTTGGACACAAGTATGTATTTTGAAAAAATAAATATTTTTGAAAAGTATTTTAAAACATTTAAATTAATGAACTTGTTTTTAAAACTTTAATTAAAATAATACTGATTGTTTTAAATCAGCTGATACTGTTGGTTCTGTTAAAGCAGGGGTTCCCAACCTTTTTTTTACTCTAGAGCACATTCTAAAATATCGGTAGTGTGGCGTAGCGACCCTTCCCGTCACCCGGGGACAAAACTTTCGATTTGCACCCCCCTCCTCAAACTTTCAATTTGCACCCCACTCTAACTTTCGATTTGCACCCCCCTCAAACTTTCGATTTGCACCCCCCCCCCCCTCAAACTTTCGATTTCCATCCCCTTCAACCTTTCAATAATGTTTACGAAAAAAATTCTGTCTCTGTCGAATACGAATAGTGAGAGGCGGGCACATACAAATCGTTCGGCTGGCGCCATGGCGCCCGCGGACACGGGGTTGGGAACCCCTGTGTTAAAGCATGAAATTAAAACAAAATAAGGTTTAGAATTTTTATACTGTTAAGTAATGTTGAAAATATATCACACGCATTTTGTTGTAATCTACATTAGATGATTTTATAATTTAACATTACATTGCACAGTATTAAATAAGTTCATATCAATAGTCACCCAATTTTTCAACTTCATCGTTACTTTCTTGTAGCCCTGCAGGATTGTGTGTCTGGGCAGCTTCAGTGCCAGGATGGTACCTGCATATCAGACATGTGGAAATGTGATGGTCAGATAGACTGTGTCAATGGAACTGATGAAGAAAACTGTGGTATGTTGCTTCTATTTTAGAAATAAACTAAGGTACAACATGGTTGAGTTAGAGATAGCATGATAGTTAGTTTGAACTCACTGGCTGGTGAGACTTGTTAGCTGGGGACAGCACCCCATCTAGGAGAGCAATCTCTCTAATCAAACTACTATTGCCTTGCAGATGTTCTTGGGTCTAAAAAGGGTATGGAAGCATGTCCAGAATGAAAAAAACTGGACTAAGTCAGAGTCTATGGGTCATATGATGCATAACATTTTAGCAATAATGTAAAAAGAAATCCCCCTCCAATTGTGCATTTCAAAATGAAGGAAAGTAGTATAAATTTATTAAACCACTGGTAGACAGTATATCCACACTTGATATTTTAAAACTTATTTTTAATATCTGTTTTTGTTAAAATTATTTACATAACAAGCATTTAGGAAATAATACGAGTTTCATAGAAAAAAAGTTATTCACTTTCTATTATCACAACATTTAAAATAAATAATTATTAATCTTACCAAGGGATTTCCATGATACACCTAAGATAGATGAACCAGGATATCCTAGTTTTGTAAACCAAATGTTGAAGTTACTAGGACCTGATCTCTGAAAATTTCAATCTGGCCTTCAATATATTCTGCTGATAGAATTGTTTGTCTTAACTAGTGTTCCTTTTAGTGAATTCTTTTAAAATTTTCTAACTAAGACCACTTATTTCTCTATAGGCTACAAGCAGTCAAAATGCAGCAAGGAGCAGTACCAGTGTAAAAAAACTTTAAACTGCATCAAGACAGAGTTTTTGTGCGATGAAGAGAATGACTGTGGTGATTGGGAAGATGAAAAAGGCTGCAGTGAGTAATGACAAATAAAACAGCTATTTTCCAACACCTGTGAATCTATAATAATTCAAAAATGAGTTCTTCATCATAAAAAAACACTATAAAACATTGTTTAATGTTATCCTGTTTGATTGTTATAAAAAATCTAGTTATAACAAATAATAACTTCCCATAGTAGTAAGTCACTATATTTAGGTTAAAAAAAATTGAGCATGCATTTTACTTCTAAGTAACCAGTATCTATCGCAAAGAAATTACTGCAACTCTTTGAAGGCTTTGCTTCCCCCATTATAAAAGACAGAAAAGAATTATTTAATTTGATAGGATAAAAGAAGAGTCTAAAAAAATATTTTAAAAATTTGAGCCACTTTATACATGAAGCTAATAATCTTTTATCTTCAATCTATAAGAAGGGATTTTTTAAAAATATTATACTTTTTAAAAAACAATTTCCTTAGTGGATTATAAAAAAATAGCGTGTGAGTTAATTAAATTTAATTTAGAAATTATGGTTTGGTCACAATTAATATAACAACTAAATTTCCAAAAACTACATAAATGCACTTCACATGTTTTAAAAAACTGCTTGTCAATTAAGTTAACAGTATGATGCATCATTATTCAAGGCAAATTTTAAAAATTACTGCTACAGTAGGAACTAATTTCTATTAAAATTATTTACTCCACAGCCCATTGTCCAAGAGGAGAATTCAAATGTGGCAGTGGAGTTTGTATTAATAAAATTTGGTTGTGTGATGGTGATTACGATTGTGATGACATGTCTGACGAATCTAACTGCTGTGAGTACTTCACTACTGAAGACATAATGTTAAGAAATTTGTTCTGTTATAATTTTTTCACATTTAGTGCATAAGTTAAAAAAAACCAGAATGAAATTTTACTGTAAAATTATTGACATGATTAAATTGTATTTTAAAATATTGTTAATTTAATCTTCTTCGAATGGCCAGCTCACTTAGTGTTACCCTGCACGAATGAACAGTTCCGATGTGATAGCGGATTTTGCATTGATAAGAATATGAAGTGCGACGGACAGAGGGATTGTGCAGATAACAGCGATGAGAGGAACTGCAGTGAGTAATGATGCAAGATTTAAATACATTCATTAAAATAAAAAAACTTGTTTTTAAATCCTATTATTGTCTTGTGGATACTAATGAAGACACTATTTTTTAAAATTATTTTAGAGCCCAGGAAATGTAAATCAGACCAATTTAGATGTGATAATGGCAAATGTTTGGGACTTCACAAAGTTTGCAATGGTAGAAATGAATGTCAGGATGGATCTGATGAAATAGCATGTGGTAATTAATAAATTATCTGTTTTAATTTAGAAGTTAACATTTTCTAATAAAAATTGAGTTTCATGGTCCCTTTAACATTACCATCATAAGATAAAAGAAGAAAAAAGAGGAGTTTTTACTTGGCTAGCATGACAGCCATGTTATTGACAAGTTTTAGAATATGCCTGTTCACTTTTAAAGTCTGACATCAATGTTATGCATTATGCTTATTTTTCCCTATAATTTTCTACTTTGTTAAGGTTTTTAAATAATATTAATTCATTGATTTGCTTTGCTTTCATTGAATGTTTAATATTTAACAATTGTTCAGACACTCTAACTTCCTGTTCTGTCAACAATGGAGGATGTTCACACAACTGTAAGCCCACACCCCATGGAGCCAGGTGCTGGTGTAAGTCTGGCTTCAAGTTGGCAGAGAACAGAACATCTTGTGAAGGTAAAGAAAATGTCCAATTCTCTTTATAAATAATATTAATTAAGCTGTCTCCTGTTATGGACAAAGTTGTTTTTCATGAATAACTGCAATGGCCCTTGCCTAACCCAAATGCTAACTCTGTAGATATAGAAATTCCAAATGTGTTTATTGTTTATTCTACATCACTTATTGTTAGAAAGTGGAACAATGTTAACAACATATGGATATTGTGCAGAAAAAGAGTGTGCAAAATCACAGAATATTTTTCCAATCCATAACTGGTTGACCCCAAGGTTTGCATAGGTCAAGTTCTTCTTGGAGAATGTTTATTGATAATTCCCCAAGTCCTTTTTTTTTAATTGTATTTTGCCAAGTCAAATATTTTATTGCTAAATGTAACTTTTGAAAATTTGATGAGAAAACTGAAACACCCACTGTAAACTACTGCTTTAATGATTTTAAAAATTTTGCACCTCATTGTCCCCAGATATTGATGATTGTTTACTGACTGGAGCATTTAGCCAGATTGAGCACCCACTTAGCCAACTGCTTTAATATATGTGTTTATTATCACCTCATTGTCCCCAGATATTGATGAATGTTTGCTGACTGGAGCATGTAGCCAGATCTGTACAAATGTAGCTGGCTCATACAAATGTTCTTGTGTGGCAGGCTATCAACTTAAACCAGATGCTAGAGGGTGCAAGGCACAAGGTTTGTCAATCATTATCTTTATATGATCAACAAAAAATGTAAAATATTGCATGGAGGATATGGCAGAACATGTGGTGATTAACTAGATAGAGATTATTGATGTGGAGCTATGGTCATAGATTATAATTAAGAGTTTTCTTTTCAATGGTTATTTTCTTTACCTTTTCCTGTTTATTAAAAATATTGTTTATGATGCACAAAGTACTAGGAAATACTCAATTTATCTAATTAATGGATTGTCTTAAAATATATGAAGACAAAATTTTTTGAAAAACTTAGTTTATGTTAATAAATATATTTAATCTTTAATTTTTTTGTTGTTAAAAACAAATTATTTTATGATAGATTGGTTTCGATTTTTTAAACATGATTTTTTGTCTTGAAATCCAGGAGGAGAAGCATATCTAATCTTTGCTAACCGTGTAGACATCAGGAAGGTCACCCCAAACAAAACAAACTACACATCCATCCTACAAGGGCTGCAGAATGCCATTGCTCTAGACTTCCACCACATTGAAGGCTTTGTGTTCTGGAGTGACGTTACGCTGGATGTTATTAAACGGGCTCATTTGAATGGCACTGGTGCCATCAGTATAATTTCTGATGGTTTGGATAACCCAGGTTGGTAATAACAAGTGTTTTTTTAAGTTCTAAGACACAGTAGAGCTGGTTGGACATTGTGATAAAAGATGAACTGATTGTTGTATTTACATTTGTATCTCTTTTGAGTAAGATCAGAGAAAACTAAAATCATAACATAATAAACTAAAATGCTCGAATAACTTGGATTTTTTGAAAGAATGTCAGTATTTAAAAGTATAGCTAGTATTTAAGGCATAGTTTTTTTTTGTGTGGAAATTATAATCATTTTAATATAATTATATGTTAAATTAACTTGTATAACATGACAACGTAGCAAAATTTCCTCATCTGTCAGCTATTTTACTTGTATAGTTTGCTATAATTTTTTCAAATTTTTTTCTACACATTTAGTATAATTTTGCCAATTTGTTTTTTTTCCTTAGGAGGACTTGCAGTAGATTGGATTCATAACAAACTGTTTTGGACAGATGCGGGCACATCAAGAATTGAGGTGGCTAACCTGGATGGTACTTATAGAAAAGTTATTCTTTGGCACAATTTAGAAAAACCAAGAGCCATTGCAACCCATCCTAAACAAGGGTAAGTGACTTTGCAAGTGTTTATGACTGTTCCCATAAAAAAGTGAAACCGAACATTACAATAAGAGAAAAAAAACAAAAATACAAACTCATTATACCAATTCACTTTCATTGAAGAAATTTCCATGCATACTTTTTTTGCTGTATGATTTTTATTGCATCTTTTTTCCTTTGCACTTTCTGGTCACCGTTTGATTCTCAAAATTTAACATTTAGCTCTTGGTTAATTTAATCTGTCCCTAGCCAAAGAGTGTAAAAATCAAAGAAATACTAAACAAAAAAGGAAAAAGTGAAAATAAAATGAATTTTCCCCATTTACACATTTTTTTATTTTATGCCTGCTATTTTGCTCCTAATTAAGTAATAAAATGATAAAGATAAAGCACTTTTGAATATATGCAGTTCATAAAACTCAAAACTATATTTACAGCTTAATATTTTGGACTGACTGGGGCACTACTCCTAAAATTGAACGAGCTGGGATGGATGGGAGCAGGAGGATCGTCTTGGCCAGCACTTCCCTATTTTGGCCTAATGGGCTAACTGTTGACTACGCAGCCGAGCAGTTATACTGGGCTGATGCCAAACACCATGTCATTGAGTGTTCAGGTCTAGATGGATCTAATCGAAGAGCTGTCATTAGTGAAGGTAAATATTGAAATTAGTTCACACTAGTAAATGTTTGTCAAAGGTGGTGATAGGTTTCTGTGGCGACCCCATGTGTCCTAGGCACTTAAAGGATAAGGTAAAGAAATACTTATAACACCTTTTTAAAATTTTAGTAAAAAACTTACTTTTTGAATATAAACTATGATTGAATAGATACTATGTTTAATATTTATGTTCTTGAGTGTTTTATATATTTTAATTATAATTTGAAATCAGTTAATATTTTTTATATTTAATGCACAGTTATTATTTAGTGCATATTTATAACATTTTTAAATACAATTACTCACCATCCAATTTTATTTTTAAAATCTTAGTGCTTTTATATTGCCATTCTAAAGTTTCAGTTGTAAAAAAAATCTAATCTCCACTTTTCATCTTCTCTAAGGTCTCCCACACCCTTTTGCACTTACCATATTTGAGGATGAACTTTATTGGACAGACTGGTTTACTAAGAGTATATACAAAGCAAATAAATTTAATGGCAATCATATTGAGACAGTGCGGACCAGATTGTTTTTTCCCATGGACATTCACACATTTCACCCCCAGAGACAACCACATGGTAAAAATCTCTTTTTCAGTTAAACATTAACTTTTGTTTTTAAAGTTTCTTAAAATAAGTTTTGATTCCTTATTATAATATTTTGTGATACTGATTTTAAACCACTAAATGCATAGTCATTGCAAGCAGCTCTTTCTTAAAATAAACTTATTTTTATAAGGTTCATTTACTTTAATTGTGTAATGTTTTGTATTTTAATTAGTCAATATGCAGAATTTATTGCGCTTGTAAAATTCTTGTATAATTTTTGTGCAGCTGTAAACCTGTGTGGACCAAACAATGGTGGATGCAGCCATCTTTGTCTACCCAATGAGGTCAACTTCACCTGCTCATGCCCAACTGGGCTTGTCTTGAACAAAGACATGAAGAACTGTGCTGAAGGTATAACATTATTATAGTGCAGAAAGAATTGAATCCTTATTTATGGATTGTCTTGGTCATATCACATTCTATGATCAATTTTTTGTGTGGAGATTTTGAGTTGTTTTTTTTAAAGTAGGCTAAGCATTTTTCTTAAATTTGGCACAACCACTCAAAAAAAACAAAAAAAAGTTTTGAAAAAAGTTTGCCACCATTATGATTTTTGTTTTGCTCTCACGTAAAAAGTTATTACAGCAATGATAATAAATAGTAGGAAAATACCAGTTGTACTTTGAAGTTTTTATTAAGTTTTTGATTTTATTTTACGTTTCCACCATAAAGATTAAATTTGAATTACTTGATAAATAAATTAATTTATTGTAGCTGTTGTGAACATGTTTATGAAATGTTAATCTTTATCATGAAGAAGAAAAAAATGTTACTTTAAATGCATTGATGTCATGGCTTTTATTTACTTAAATTTTTTTTCTCAGTCATGGACACGTTTGTCCTATTTTCTACCCAAAACGACATCAGACGCATATCACTGGATGTAGGAGAACTAACAGACGTTGTCATACCTTTGGGTGGCATTGAAAGTGCTGTGGGTGTAGAGTTTGATAGCTTCACAGACAAAATATACTGGTCAGACATTGGTGCTGATAACATTGGTGAAGCATCGTGGGAAGGAAAAAATGCCAAGGTCAGAAGCCAAATTTAGAAACATGTATGTGCTTAATTTTTAGCCCTGAGTCAGAGACAGAATACAGTTTACTATAATGTTAGTGTAATGGATAAAGATTAAGCTTTTTTGTAATGATAATTTAGAATAAAAGTATAGACAGTATATATAAACAACCACTTCTTAAATTTGTTGAGTTGTGGTATATTGTTTATTAAAATATTAATATTATGATAAACATGATGTATGAATAAACAAAATTTTGTTTAAGCTTAGTGAAATCATATAAAATGATAGACATTAAATTGAAGGTTTTTCATCAGAAATACCTATATAATGGCATTTATACTAATTTTGGTATGAAATTAAAAAACACTATATATATCTTTTTTTTTTTTACAGATAATTATTGGCACAAGTTTAGATTCCCCATCTGGAATTGCTTTAGATTGGGCTGGTCACAACTTGTATTTGACGGACAGTGGGAATGACAGAATCGAAGTCTGTTCTGTTGAATCAGGTCTTAGAACAGTTCTTGTTTGGAGAGACTTGGATCACCCTAGAGATATTGTTGTTCATCCAGAGAAAGGGTATGCTACTCTAAATTTATTTTATTATATAATAAGAGTTACAACCCTTTGTTATACATTTTATACCATTTTAACTGGCAACACAAAAGATAATGAAATTGGTGTGCACCGATTGCACACATTTTTGTGTGTGTGCAATGGAATTTTTTTTAAAAACTAAGTTTTTAGTTGTGCATTTTTCTGGGAATCAGAGAAATGATTAACTAAGTTGTGAGTCTACTGATGTTAACTGTTTTTTTTAAAGCCTCATGTTTTGGACTGATCTTGGCAAGTCAGCCAGGATAGAGAGGTCAGGTATGGATGGGAGTGAACGCCAGATTTTGCTCAGCAATGACATCACCTGGCCAAATGGACTTAGCTTGGACTTTGAAACTGACCGCTTGTATTGGGTTGATGCAGGGACTCACACTCTTGAGTCATGTGCACTTGAAGGCAATGATAGAAAGGTATGCTTGGATTTTATTTCTATAATCTTTGTTTATAAAATAAATGTTCAGCCAATAGACTAGAATACGGTTAGCAACTTTTGTCTTGGTTGAATAAAAAAGGTGATTGTATTAATGTAAAACCTATATATAATTAGAGGCCTTGTAGTTTTATAATATACTAAAAATCTAAATGTTTGATAATCTTTTATCTTTTAAAATAAATATTAAATTAACAAAATAAAAAATAATTGAAATTGCTTTTAATTGAAAAATTTTTTTTAAAAAAAAAACAACATAGAGAGTCAAAAGATTTTGCTAAAGTAACAAAACAATTTATAAACCAAGTAAACGTCTTGAGAAGAATATCGAAAGAAACAATCCTAAGTGCCCAGTATCTTAGAAAAAAACATGAGGTTGGTCAAATTACAATACGATTACATTTTAAAACATTTTTCTGAAGGTGGTCATCTCATCAGGCCTGCAGCACCCGTTTGGCATCACAATCTACGACCAAAATGTCTACTGGACGGACTGGGATGCTGGCAGCATCTTTTATGCAGACAAAATCACAGGCTTAAGGAAAGGCGTTCTGGCTTCAGGCTTTGGACACATCATGGACCTAAAAGTTTTTCATAGGACCAGAAAGAAGGGTGTGTATCTCAAGATAATTGATACCTGCTCTATCTCCCCAATTTATTATAGAAACACATTTTTTATTTTCGTATATTTAACTAAATTTGAGGTTACAAATTTTGAACTATATTTTCTTACTCTTATTCATATGCATGGTTATGGTGTAAAATATTAGCCTCCTAAGCTTATAAATAAATAAATTTCACTTTTGGAGTGATATTTATCCTAAAAATAAAATAAAATTCCAAGAATATTAAAAATCAAATAATTTTCAATTCATTGAAAAGAAATGTAATTATACTTGTAAGTAATGTTATTTTTATATATATTATTTAACTTAGAAGTACACTGGGTGTAACAATATAAAATATAATAATTTACATATAATTTATTACAAAAATTAATGTTATATTATTTGTGAGTCCTGCTAAGTTAATTTCATGTAAAAATGTCTTCCAACTTTTTGCAGTGCCAACAGAGTGCAGCATCAATAATGGAGGGTGTAGTCACATATGCTTGATTGCCCCAGCACCTAGAGGACATGCTTGTGCTTGCCCTACTGGAATTATACTGAAAAGTGATGGTAAACAGTGTAATACTTGTAAGTAAATATAACACATTTCCTGGCTTTTTTTATGTACATGCTGTCAAAACTATTTTATGCATGCTTATTAATTCACTTATACAGGTATACAGTTTAGCTATATATATGAAAAGTAATTTTCACTTTAAGGTTTTTAGTCATTTTTTTTGCATTGTGTTTAAAAAGACTCACTGTATTGAAGTATCCATTGTGTTATGAAAATTTGTCCTTTCTTTTAACAGTGATGCGCAACTTTTTGATCTTCACACGGCGCCAGGATATAAGAAGAATTTCTCTAGAAGTTGAATATTATGTGGATGTTGTCATACCAGTGGGGGACCTCAGGAATGCTATAGCTATTGATGTTGATGTTTTAGAAGGTAAGCTTATCTGAATTCTGTGAATACTGAAATTCATTCAGAAAAAAAAAATTATACTGAGTTTTATTTTAAATTTTGTTTGATAGTGAGAATGGCCATTATGGGCCATATTGTTTTTTTTAAATTTTTTTTAGAAATTTAGGATGGAAATTTTTTTTTCCAACATCACTATGCTCTTAATATTATAAACAAAACTTCATTCAATATTAGAGGCATTTTAATTAGTTTTTATTTCACACAATTTGTTTTTGAAGTTGTAAATTAAATGATTTGAGGGTTACTACAGTAGAAATGTATTTGTGTTTCGTTTTAGGTAAAATGTACTGGACAGACACAGTTCTAGACAAAATCTCAAGGGCAAATTTAAATGGATCCAATGTAGAAAGGATCATAGAGCATGGTATCCACACAGCTGATGGCCTGGCTGTTGATTCTGTTGGACGCAAGATCTACTGGACAGATGATGGTCACAACCTCATCCAGGTATAAATTATAAATGAGACACGGTTGCCCGTACAAATTCTAAATGAGACACGGTTGCCAGAACAAATTCTAAATGAGACACGGTTGCCCGTACAAATTCTAAATGAGACACGGTTGCCAGAACAAATTCTAAATGAGACACGGTTGCCAGTACAAATTCTAAATGAGACACGGTTGCCAGTACAAATTCTAAATGAGATACTGTTGGCTAGTGGTAGAGTGCTTGGTTAGTAAAATAAAGTACTCTTTCAAACCTCATAGTTGAAGTAGAGTTTATATGTTTCTTGAAACGTCCTTTACTTTCCCTGACTTCAGTCACCATTATGTCCCACATACTAGACAAAATAAACTTAACCTTAACTTAATGTCAGCAGTCATATGATCTATAAAAGGATTATAATAAAAGTATAAATAAATTGTTCCTCTACCTATTCAGATGTAAAACACTTATAGTTTTCTAAATTTAATCTAAGATTTAAAAAAAAAAATTGATTTTGTTTTTTTTAAAATTGTACAATGTGTATAACTATTAGATTCAGGGGAAAAATAAAAACATTACCAGAAAAAAATACAAAACAAAAACAAGTTTTGTGTTTGAATTCCAGGTTTCAAATTTAGATGGAAGTATGAGAAGTGTTCTATTATATGAAGATCTGGACAAACCCAGAGCCATTGCACTGCATTATGATAAAGGGTATGTACATGGAATTTTGCCCTATATGTCCAGGATACTTACATGAAAAGATGATTTTAAAATTATAGTTGTTTAGTTTGGTTTGAAACAAATGTTTCAATTGTTAGACTGACGCCATTGTCATCGCAGTTAATAATAAATAAGTAAGCAAGCTTATGGCTAGGGTTAATAAAAAGAACAGGGTTAGAAGGTTTAATACTTTGTTTTGTTACTGTTTCCAGCTACATGTTTTGGACTGACTGGGGAAAATATGCGAGAATTGAGAGAGCTGATATGAATGGTAACAACAGAGTTGTCATCATATCAGATGGCATTGTATGGCCTAATGGGCTGACCATTGACAGACCAACACAAAGAATCATTTGGGCTGATGCCAGTACTGAGGTAAGTAAACTTTAGTTAAAAATGTTTATGTCCAAATGTTATGTGCTATTAGAAAGTTATACACTTCTATATGACATAGTCAGTTATGTTTTCTGTTAATGAATGTTGCTTGAATGAATGGATTGTAATAATAGAAAGCCCATATTTATAAGTACGGGATGGCATGGCTGAATGGTAGAGCGTTTCGCTGCTATCCTGAAAGTCTAAAGTTTGGATCTTGGTTCGGACTTAAAACTGTAGGAAGTCCCTGAGCCCACCCAGCTCTGATGGGTACCTGACTTAATTGGGGAAAGTAAAGGCAGAAGGCATCTCTGTTGAGATAAAAAAAAATATAGATACTCTACTTCATTTGCCCAATGGATGGCTAGGTCTAAAGTAGAACTTTACCTATTTATAAGTAGTAAATCAGTACAGGCCAAACTTAAAAAGCCATTCATTAAAAGAAGACCTAATACTTCAGTATGTTTGCTTTTTGTTCAATAAATCCAGAGACAGCCATTAAGAATTTAATTAGAAAATTCCATAACTCACAGCATCTTTTATTTTAATTTTTAGTTGATGTTAGCAACAGAAAACTAATTATTTTTAATACCATGATGTAAATATTCAAAATTTATTTACAGATTTAATTTATTCTTTGTTTGTAGTTGATAGAATGTTCTGACCTGTTTGGGAAAAATCGTCGTAAATTGGTTGCCAAAGTCCAACACCCATATGGCCTGACAGTAGCTGGAAATTCAATTTACTGGACGGATTGGAGGGAGAGTTCCATACACAAGGCTAACAAGAACTTTGTTGCTAATGTAACAAAGATAAGGGATAACTTACCTGGCATTATGGATATTCATGCTGTACAGATTGATGGCATACGTAAGAAATTAGCTATATTTTCACTCAACAAGGTTTTTTAGGGATAATAAATATATAGGCCCTATTTATACAATTTTAGTGAAATATATTCTTACTTCACTTTATTATATAAAAATATAAATATAAAATTTTTCATGTTAATTTTAACATCAGTTTACTTTGATGTGCAGAATTATACATGAAGTTTATGTCCGATGTAATAGTTATTATATTTATTCAGATTTTTTTTTGTTTTAAAATAATCTGAAAATCACAACTGCCGACCACTTTGTTTCAAACTCTGAAGTAACAACCATAATTAACTATTAATTGTATGTTCCCTTTTTGAACTATCTTTTGTTCCATTCATTTAACAGATATATTTTGCATAAACACATGCTAATTTTGTAAATGTTTAATGTTTCAGAAACACATGTGAATCGTTGTGGAACAAACAATGGAGGCTGCAGCCATTTATGTCTACCTCACCCTAAAGGAACCTCATGTGCTTGTCCTACAGGCATACTGCTAAAGAAAGATGGCAAAACATGCTATGATGGTAATTTTATCCGTTATCATTTATTTTAAACAATTCTTTTGTAAAATACTACTGGTTAATTCACTTTTGCTATAAAAAATAAATATTTAAGCATTAAAATTAAAACAAAAGCTGTTTAAATTAAGGTTATCGATTAAACTGTTTTTAATATTGTTTACTTGTAAAACAATATTATACATTAATTTTCTGCACTAAAATCTGAAGTTAAATCAGCTTATCAATTGTAAATTTCAGCTCCAAGTAAATACTTGCTTTTTGCTTCAAGAGGAAGTATCAGGCGCATCTCTTTAGACAAGCCTGATCTAACAGATGTTCACCTGCCCTTACCAGACCTGCATAATGTCATCGCCCTTGACTTTGATTATCTAGACAGTATGGTGTATTATACAGATGTCTACCTTGATGTTATAAGGTCAGTATAATTTTTTTTAGTATGTATGTTAATTTAAGTGATTTGGAGGATAAAGGAAGTAAAGGGAGCAGAAGCTTCTTACATGAGTCCATCAAAACTAAGGCTGTTTATCGAGCTACTGAAAATATGTATTTAATTCAGATATCTGTAAGATATTTTCCCCCCCCTCTTTTTTCCACTCATTTTTGTAGCCCTACATTTTTGCCTGTTAGTCTTTATATACTGGAATTATAATATTCAAATTAGTTTTTGTTATGTACATACTAAAAATCATGTTAGTTATAGTTTTTTACCATTTTGTTAATATTATTTATGCAGGGTTGTGTACTTGTACTGTTTCGTCCATTATTTTATTATTTTAACACCCAGGTCACTAAATTATGATTATTCCTTTACACTTTCACCTTCTGTACAAATTGGGTTGTTTTTTCCCTTTTTGTGGTAACTTGCGGTTCCTGTTCTGAGTTTTATATCTAGCTAGTTAAACTTTCATCTGTGTTATCCTAAATTTCTCCTTTTCACACATAGGCCTATAACATTCCTAACATTTCCTTCCTGACCCTCTCGTCCAATATTATCATGGGCGGAAGTCATTATGTCTAGGTTGTGAACTTTCATTGACCCTGAAATGTGCTGTGGCATATTGATGAATATTTTAATTCTTAATCATTGAAATACAGATCACGCATGGACAATATCTTAATTAAACCAAGATGTACTGTTTTTTTGCAAAAAATAGTCATAGTTTACAGCCATAAAAAAATAAACTATGTGAATGTAATTCTTTATGAATTATCATGAGGTAAAATAATATATATTACTCTCTGAATTTTTGCTGCATTTAAAAAAAAAGTAGCATAAGAAGGGTCTAGATTCATATCATTATTAGTCCATGTCTTTAAAATAAATTTTATCATAGCCAAGTAACATCATTGTGCTGATAGGTTTTTCTGATATTATACAACTAGACTCACCTTCTTTTGAAAATAAAATGAAAAATTATCTTTTTTTAAAAAAGTTAAGGAACATAAAAAATCACCTAGTATTTTTATTAATGTTACTGAAAAGTTTTTTGAGGTTAGGCAGCCCTGATTTTAAATTTCTTGTGTGTTTTTTTAGATTTATTTATTATATTTCAACAAATGTGTTTGTAGGAGAGCCTCTCTCAATGGCAGTCAGTGGGTGGAGAATGTTGTCCAGAAAGAACTGGCCACTACAGATGGGCTTGCTGTAGACTGGATAGCCAGGAACTTGTATTGGACAGATTCTGGTAAATTGTCTGTAGTAGCTTCCCTTTGTTTTCATAAGTAGCTGCCCTTTGTGCTAATCACTTTTCAGAAAACTTTCAATGTAAATGATAAGCTATTTTATTTTTTAAGAGGACCTCATTACAAAGCAATTTTTATCATATTGTTATTCCAATAGGCCATGATGTTATTGAAGTTTCACGCCTGGATGGGTCCAGTAGAAAAACAATCATCCATGAAGATTTGTTTGAGCCCCGAGCACTTGCATTGTTTCCTAGAAAAGGGTAATGCACTATGTTTTTTAATCCCTCTTTTAAAATAAAAAATTAGCTTTTTTTAGAACAATAAAATGTATATAATTTATTTATAGATTTATATTATTAAAATGTGTACAATTTTATTAATTAACAGATTGATGTTTTGGACTGATTGGGGAAATGAGCCTAAAATAGAACGAGCTTATTTGGATGGATCCACCAGAAAAGTTATCATTAATAGTGAATTAGGTACAAAAAAGCATTTAGACAGAACATTACCAAAGAATAAAATAAAAAATATTAAAAGATATTATTACTAAGGAATTTGGTTTAAAAAGTACTTAAAATATTATTAGTTGAGTAAAAAAAAAGATTGACTGATAGAGTTATTATACCTAGTGGACAGGTTTATAAAGTAGTAATTTTGTCTTATCATTTGTTTAGGAGATTTGTTAACACTTTTGAAACAGTCAAAACCACTGTATTCATACACATTTAGCCCATAATTTAATTTTTACAGGTTATCCCAATGCCTTATGTATAGACTATGATACGATGAGGTTGTATTGGGTTGATGCCAAGTTAGACAAAATTGAGACGTCAGATCTGGCAGGGAGAAACAGGGTGACTCTACTGCAGCAAGTCCCACACCCATTTGGTCTTACAGTGGTAAGGAAATTTAATTAGGTGGTAACCACACAAGTACACTAATTTAAAACTGTCTTTATTGGAATTTATTAAAAGAAAATAATTACATTATGTTTATGTAGAGAGCTGCAGAGTTTAACAATACCTCATAGTGTCATATGCTCTGTAGCCTCTATATTATTTTGTTGCTGCAACACATTATTATTAAAGTTTGAATTTTTGTATAGAGAATATTGGGAAATTATTAGTTAAAGAATTTTTTTTTTTAAATATTGGTTTTGTTTGTTGTTTACTATAGAAGTTATCATCCATCAAATTGTGTGTGTTTATAGTTATAAAAATCCTGTCCCTTGAGTCCATCAGCTGTTTGGAGGGGGGGGAGGGGCTGATGCATGGGCAACACCTGGCTCTTCACAACTTATGGTCCTGGCTTCGTGCTTGGATTTCCAATGTGCTATAATCTATTGAATTAGACTATGGAGCCTTATATTTTGTTACCAAAAGAGTTGAAAGAGTCAATACAATTTTTAGCTTTAATTTCCTTGTCCAAATAGCTTTTTAAAGTTTTTATTAGCAGCATGAGTGCATTCAATATGTTAATACATTACCAAATTATGCTGTGAATTATTTGATTACTTAAGTTGTATAGAAGTGAAATAGTGGCTAAAAATAGTTTTTTAAGATCTAGTGAAGGTGGGGGGCGGGACGTATTTGTTTGTATATGGAGCTGTTAAGTGATGTTATATTGGGCTGTTTTTTTTGTTTACTTGACACTATTATTGTTGTCTTCAGTTTGAGGAGTTCATCTACTGGACAGATTGGCAGACAGAGAAACTGGAGAAGGCCAGTAAAAAAGATGGCAAGCAGAGGATGGTCGTACAGGGTGGGCTGGAAGGGTTGATGGATGTGCATGTGGTTTCACCACAGAGGCAGACAGGTAACCACTGTAGTGATCTTGGTACTGTACTATAAACCAGACTTGTCTCTCATATCTTAAGTTTTTTAATAGAGGTTTCACCACAGGGGCAGACTGGTAATCACTTTAGTGATCTTGGTACTGTACTATAAACTCTAGTTTTTTAATAGAGGTTTCCACTTGGCTTAAATTTTCCTTTTGGATAAATACAAGATATTTGTGGCATTTAATTTAGCTGACTTGTAATAACGAGCTTAAATTATATATTTTAAAGTAGTGCTAAATCTAATAGTCTTGAGTTTGAGTCTGATTTCAAGTCAGTAGAATGTCCCAGAGTCCACCCAGCTCTGATGGGTACCTAACTTATGTTAAGGAAAGTAAAGGTGGCAGGGCATAGTGCTGACAATACTATACCTTCATATGCTGTCACAGAAAACAGGTAAACTCTACTACACTTGCCCATGATTCAGAAAGGGAACTTTTTACCCTTAAAACCTTATGCAAACGGAACTCAGGGTTGTTTATTCTGTACATAGCTTAGACCATTTTAGAAATTAAAATCTGCCAGCTTATTAGACTTGCTAAGTATATAATAATTATTTGTGTGAGGCATCTGATTTAATAACTTTTGCTTAAATTAATCAGTATTATTTGTTCAAGACTTCTAATTTGATAACTCATTTAGGTTAGGATAATTATTTGTTTAAGTCTCATGATTTGATAACTTAAGTGTGATGCTCTTATGTGCAGGGACCAACAAATGTGGTAAATTAAATGGTGGCTGTTCCCACCTCTGCTTTGCTAGACCTGATGGTTATGTGTGTGCTTGTCCCAACCAACAGGACTCCAGACCGTGTAGTAGTAAGTCGCTCAATTGCTAGTTGTAGTGGTTAGTCACTCAATTGCTAGTTGTAGTAGTAAGTCATTTAACTCTTAATTGATATAACTTACTCCATTCACTAAATGGTAACTTTTAAAAAACAAACTTTAGTAACTAATTGTAAATAGAAAAATTACAAACAGCTTTAAATTTGAATGTTAAATGCTTTTCAATTTTCAGGGCAAAAGAATTCCAATATTATCAACATTGACATCAATCAGGCACATCCGTAAGTCAATATATCAATCAGAGTTGATCAAATTTTGAGACTTTAAGTCAAATAAAGTCAAAATAAAATAAAAATAATGTAATTTTAGAGGTGTGAAATTTCAATGTCATTTTATTGTTGGGGGGGGGGGGGGTGAATAATCTAAATGTATATGGCATCATATACGGGTTGATACCTACTGTCACTATTTTTTTTTTTTGAGAACCACTTCTTTTTCCTTCAAGACTCAAAAAAATGTCATCAGTTGAGAACAATTTTGGACTTTTATGTTATGTGATATATTATTAAGCTTGAGTTTTTTTTTTTCATTTTTCACTTGTTGCATATTGTTGTTTTTCTTATTTCAGTTGCTCTACTGAAGACTTATCTCTGGGGATCTGTGAAAATCCTCTCTACTCTTCTGTTTCTGAAGGTAAATTTGTCACTTGTACTGTTCACTTTCTGACACTAATAATAGTAACATCAATTTGACACTTTGGTATCAATGACTTGATGACTTTGACAGTTTGACATCTCTGACACAATGACACTGACAGCATAATAAAACTGACATCATGAGCTATGTGCTAAATTAAAACCAACCCACATGACAAATAACTGACAGGAGGATAGCATTAGTATGTAGTAGATGATGTCATCAAATAATTAATGGATCAAGAAGGTGGTAATAATGGGGATGGTGTGGTAGATCGTTTGGCTGCTAGTGCGAAGGTCTTCAGACTTGTGACTGTAGGATGTCCCTGAGTCCACCCAGCTCTGATGGATACCTGACTTACTTGGGGAAAGTACAAGGTGGTTGGGCATAGTGCTGACCACACCATCCCTTCATATGCCGAGGTCAAGAAACATGAACTCTTTTTCCTCTGCCTAATGGATTGCCAGGTCTAAAGAGAAATTTACAAGTTTTAAAATGGTGATAATCACCAAACGTAAGTATTTTACATCTGTTTCTATCTTGAGATAATTATCTCCAGGTTCTGAAGACAACAAGACTGTTGGCCCTTACATTGCTGTAGCCGTTACTCTCACTGTCCTGCTTGTGGTGGCTGCTTTTGTGCTGATATTTTGGAAAAGGTATTTCTAGTTTAATATTACTAATTAGAGGAAAAATAAAATGGCTACATTTCCATTCTGATATTTTGGAAAAGGTATGTCTAGTTTAATATTACTGATTAGAGGAAAAATAAAATGGCTACATTTCCATTCTGATATTTTGGAAAAGGTATTTCTAGTTTAATATTACTAATGAGAGGTAAAATAAAATGGCTACATTTCCATTCTGATATTTTGGAAAAGGTATGTCTAGTTTAATATTACTAATGAGAGGTAAAATAAAATGGCTACATTTCCATTCTGATATTTTGGAAAAGGTATGTCTAGTTTAATATCACTAATGAGAAAAAAAATAAAATGGCTACATTTCCATTCTGATATTTTGGAAAAGGTATGCCCAGTTTAATATTACTAATGAGAGGTAAAATAAAATGGCTACATTTCCATTCTGATATTTTGGAAAAGGTATGCCCAGTTTAATATTACTAATGAGAGGTAAAATAAAATGGCTACATTTCCATTCTGATATTTTGGAAAAGGTATGTCCAGTTTAATATTATTAATGAGAGGTAAAATAAAATGGCTACATTTCCATTCTGATATTTTGGAAAAGGTATGTCCAGTTTAATATTACTAATTAGAGGTAAAATAAAATGGCTACATTTCCATTCTGATATTTTGGAAAAGGTATGTCCAGTTTAATATTACTAATTAGAGGTAAAATAAAATGGCTACATTTCCATTCTGATATTTTGGAAAAGGTATGTCCAGTTTAATATTACTAATTAGACGGGGAAAAAAATGGCTACATTTTCATTAACCATAATTATCACATTTTCCTTTTTGTACCCAAGACACATGGGGTGGGCACAAAAAGCTCCCTCTACTTTTGTCTGGCAATCCCCCCCCCCCCCCCCCAGACAGTCCTGCCTCTGCCAGCTGCTTACTTGCTGGATACCTCCATGTCTTCCTTGGCCTTCTCATGCTTTCTTTTTCCTTTACGCGTCCAGTCTAGTGCCATTCCTGAATATCATCTGGATATATTTTTATGACGTGCCCCATCCAGTGCCATCTTCTTTTTCAATTATTTCGGAAATTGTTTCCATTTCCATCTCTCCTAGTAGTCAGTCATTATGGTGTTAGACCAATGTAATGTCTTTTATCCTGCGCAAGCACTTAATGTATTAACCATAATGCTATGTTATTTTTGTGTAATTTACTATTATGGCACAGTGGCATGTTTACCCTTTGAGGAACTTAAAAAGGAATATAGTATTTAAATCTGAGATAAATTGGTTTTTGTTGTCAACAAATTTTTATATGAACTCACACAGCACTACCAAATTATTGATGAATTTTGTTTTGTTTTGTTTACATAGACAGCGAAGGCGGCATTACAATGTGGAAGGGTTTTCTGGGCTGACCTATGCAAACCCCACCTACCAGAAAGCCAGCACAGAGACTATAGACTCTGAGAATAACACGTGTAAAAATTTTCCACTTTTCCGCTACCATGCAAGCGAGGTAGGTGTATTCCGCATGTACATTGTGTATGTGATTTATGTTAGCCATGTGTATTCTGTATGTGCTTTCTGTTAGCCATGTACATTGTGTATGTGCTTTATGTTAGACATGTATATTGTGTATGTGCTTTATGTTAGTCATGTACATTCTGTAAGTTCTTTGTGTTAGCAATGTACATTGTGTATGTGCTTGCGTTAACTAAAGCTATTCTAATTGTACTCGTAATATAATTTAAAAAAAATAGTTTGCCATGTTAACGAGGCAGTGTTTTTTAATTGTAGGAACACATAACGTCATGTTTGAGCGATGTGGAGACTGTTGCAAGCAATATGGAAACTGCTGCTCTGGTGACCCCTCACACTAAAAGGTATGTTTTGTCAGGTGACTCATGTAGGTATATTTTTGTGGAGTACACTATTTTTGTTTAGGAATAAAAAGTATATTTTGTTGTTTTTTTTCACAAAAAGTATGTTTTGTGTGGTGACAAAAAGGTATATTTTGTGAAACTACTGACAAGTGTATTTTTCTGTCTTGACCAAAGAAATATTTTCTCGAAGAGGATGGGAGAAAGAAGATGAGCAAAAGATGCTATTTTAAAAATTACGCAAGTGTATGAATTTGATAAGTGTGTTTGAAAGCTTAGACTGTAGCCTGTTCGATTGCGCACCTGGCATATGACATTGAAAATAAAGGCAAATTGACATTGTATTGGCCGCAGTTGTCCTTATGATGTCATCACCTAAATCTCATCTGACCTATTGACAGCTCATCCATTGGGGAGATGAAGTAATGAAGTAGAGTTCATGGTTCTTGACCTCTACATATGAAGGGATAATGTGGTCAACACTATGCCCAGCCGCCTTTTCTTTCCCTAAAGTGATTTAGTTAGGTGGACTCAGGGACATTCCACTCGAGACGTTTGGGTTAGCAGTCCAGCGCTCAACTGCTAGGCCATGCTCTCCCACTAAAAAAATATTAAAGCATACAAATTATTTCCTTGATAAAATATGAAATGCATTTTTTTCCAGAGGGAATTCTGGTGCAGAAAGTACCTTGAAGCTATTAGCCATTAAACCAAGACAAAATGGCAGTTTAAACGCCGAGCCAAAATAATCAACCACCTGAACAAGTAACTTTTTACTATCTGTGATATGTACATACACATTATTCTATACAGTCTTTTTTACATTTTGTATGGTTCAACTAATGACTCATAGATTACACATATGAATGCATATTTGTATGTTTATGTAATCAACATGTATGTAATTACAGCTTCTATGTTACAATTTATGTAATATGTGTTAGGTGTAGCTGGTGACATAAAAAGGTATATAGTTTTTTTAAAGTGTTCTTTAATAGCCATGCTAAAATAGAAATGATTGTCTGGCGCCACTTAGAATTAAGTCTTTGTCTTTGTTGTTCATAAGAATCTGCTCTATTCTAGCAGCCCAATCAAAGATGTTTTAAAAGCATTTAGAGATCATGTTTCATACAAAATGTGTGAGAAACACAGTTTTTTAGCTTGAAATCAGTGAAGTTATTCTAAACCAGTATTTGATTGTTCGTGTATATCGGTGAAAGGGGTCTTGTTTACAATGATTTATGTTAAAATAGATGAAAGTTCTTTTTAAATTTTTAAAATCCATTTTTATGTAATTGAAGGTGTGTTGTAAAGTTATATCATGACAAATGTCTTGTAAAAAAATAATTTTTAAATCAATTATCTCATATATCACCAGGTTAATAACTTGAATTTAAAGTTAGCTAAAACTAAGTGTTCTTTTATCTCTGTTGAAATCAGAACTATTTGAAAGTTTAATAGTAAACCATACTTTCATTCATTTTTAAACAATTTTTTAATTAATGTAACATTAATAAAAGTCAGTCATCATAAATATTTATAACCTGAATTTCGCTGAGTGACTACATACTTTACAGCTAATCCTGATTGTCTTACGTCTAGACTAAATGCTGACCTTAAAAAAATTATTTTTGTAATTAATTAATGCTTTAGCACACTTGGTTCAGAATTTTTTAACTTCTTTATTCAGGTTGCTCAAATAATTCTCTAATTAATTGTCATTATCCATTGTTCCCACCAAACTGACTACATATTTTTTTTAGACCCAACATGATTTGTGTACATGTTGAAATATTGTCTAAGCAGGAAGGAACGTCTAGTAAAATAATGTGTAAAGAATTGGAGAGCAAAATGTCGGTCGGGGCTGTGGTTTTTTTAAAATAGAAAATAGTGTGTGCATCCCGTTAAAATTCAGCTAACTTTAAGTGTATTTTGTTTAAAATGGTTATAGAATTTACACATGGTAGATTTTTCCCTGGGAAGTTTTGTTGAATTAATTTGTTAAGCATATATTTTTTATGGAAGTTAATCCAAAACTTGGTTTCTGAATAGCACTAACATGGTAGATTTTGGCTAATTTTTGTATAGCCAATTTGTTAAGTATATATTTTATTTTAAAGATAATCGAAAACCTGATTTCTTTAAAGCATTAACATGTTAGAAGTAATATCTGGAAAGATTTATTTTTAGTAAAATTGTTAAGTAAATATTTTAAATGGTTATAGAGTTAACATGGTAGATACCTGACAAAATCTGTAGCTATTAAACGATTTGTTAAGTAATTATTTTATTTAAACTAAATCTTAAACCTTGTTTCTGTTCAGCATTAATAGTGTAGATATATCAGTTTTAAGTAATTATTTTATTTGAAAGTTGTGTGTGTACTATAGCCAAATATTTTTTTTTCAAGGTAGATATCAGGGAAGTTTGGTTTGGTAAAATTAAGTAAATATTTTAAAGTTTTACTAACACCAGGTTTGAATTGGCTACAGCATTATCATGGTAGATATCAGGAAGTTTAACTTAAGTCAGTATGTGATAGTTTGTGTTCTCTGGCTAACACTCAGGACTCAGGGGGTTTTCTAAAGAATCTAGTGTGGACGTGCACTGTTCTGTGTGGTGTTGATGTGTATTATTCAATGTGATGTTGATGTGTACTGTTCAACACTTTTATGTTTTGTTTCTTAAATATATATACTCAGGCCAGTTGCTGATTAAAGTTAATTTTAAAACAATGTTTTTAACAGTTATTGTATTTTACAAATAATAATTTAATGAACTTAACTTAAAATATTGTTTTACACGTGGTTCATTTCTAAACAGTAAAATAATTTTTTTAAGCATGGTGTATAATGTGTGGTATTTCAGTAAATACTGATCCATTATTGGAAGTAGATTTAGACATTTTGTTTTGGTCATGTATACACAGTTTTTTTTTTTTTTGTGATTTATATTTTTTTGTCACATATAGACAGTTTATTTGTGATTTTTGTTTTTTTTATACATATAATATGGTTGTAATTTTAACTGTGAATGGCATTTGCTGGTTGCTAATGAAGTTGTAACTGGGATGGATGGGTATTGTCCACACCAGTTATTACTTGGCAATTTACTGAACTAAATACCAAAAACATTATTAGTTATCAGAATGCTCGCTAAATATATTATTTAATGGTTACCTCATGTTTATACCCTATAGTGAAATCTAACACTGTTATTTTTAAGGTAGATGTTTTAAATGCATGGTATCAAAATTTCTTTTTTAAATATTGTAAAAGTTAAATGTCTCAACTTTTTAAACCTAACCCCTTTGGGAGGCTACTTGTATCCTAAATTACCAAAGAAAAATATGTTTTTTTTTTGGCTGTAATTTTTGTGGGTAATAACTAATATAACAGTTTATCATTATAAAATAAAACTGATACATTTTGATAACTGTTTTGGTCATCAATGGATTGAAAGTTATTTGAAATTGAAATTCTAAAAATGTCTTAACATTAGTAAATTATTGAATAAGCTTTTAATAATGTTGATATTTTATTCCATTCATCCAATCAAATTGATGATTTAAAGTGATTTTTTTGTAAAAATTTAATTTTTTTTTCTTGCTGGTCTAGTGCAGCTTAAAACAGTCGGATTGCAAGGTTGTGATCTGAAGTTGCTAAACTACTTTTTGATAAGATTTGTTTTACCTCTTGCCTTGACTGTTTCTTTACCCTTTTGTTTTACTATACCAGCAGTAGAATACATTTTATGCTTCGGAAAACATTAGCTAAAATTTTGAACAGTAATTTTTTAATTTATTTTTCCTTCAATCTTTTCCATTAAAGTAAAAATAAACTTCAAATTAAAAAAAAAAAAAAAATTGAAGTATAGAAATGTATGGGCCGATAACTTGACTTGTTGAAAACATTACTCAAAATGAAATCAAAATGAGTGTACATACATCGTGGGATTGTATCTATACAGTATGTACATATTCATTTTTACCTTATTATATATATGCATGTAGTAGTATATTACTATGATACTTCCTAGTTATGTATATTTTTATCAGCTACAATTGATAGGGATAGGATTTTGTTTAGTGCATGAACTTAAATTCTACTCAGTTTGATTGTAGGTAAGCTAGAGGTTATACTATTCTTTGGATGTTAATCATGGACACTTTTGGTTTTCCACTTTGGCCTATTTGAAAGCAATGCAAGATGTGTCTGAGCTTAGCTGCTGATGTAGATTAAATTTGATAGTCCAATTCAGCTTCTTTTGTTTTGAGATTCATTTTTTAAATCACTAGTTTTGAGTCATTTTTGTAAATTCTGAATACTACATTGTAAATCCACAATTGTGATTGGTGCTATTTCATTTTATTTTCTTCTACCCAATATTTATTTCATCTTTATTAAACACATGCATTGTAAATGAGGCAAAGTGAAAACTTTTTTTTAAAAACTTTGGCACAATACAAAACTAATTTTCAATTTTACAGTAATGTACTGCACCAAAGGAGACATTAAAAGCAGAGTCTTTTGTTACAAAGTTTAGACACAAATACATTTGTTGAATGGCCTAAATATGTAATTTTGACCATGGGTATTCTGACCCTGTTGATTCTACTCCTATTAAATAAAAATAGGTTTATGGAACTATATCAACAAACTGTAATAAATAATAAGTAACCAGCAGTTTTCACTGTTATTAATATATAGGTCATTTTCATATTACCAAATATATTTATCCACATTTGAATGTTTTTAAATGTTTATGTTGCATTTTATTATTACATGCAATTAATACATCAGTTAGGAATGTGATGTTTAATATTTAGAATTTAAATATTACTTTTTTTGTTTATTAATAGTTTACAAAGGGAGGCAATCAGGCCACAATTTTTTAAAAACACAATTGTTCTGAGACTAAAAATTCTATACTGTTCTTAAAATGGTAAAGACATTTCAGAAATTAATCTACACACACATTGTTCAATCTATAGTGGTAACTGCTGAAATGTCAGATCTCAAAAGTATGGTTTACAGATTACATTTCAGCTTCTTAGAATCTTGTTAAAACATATTTTAACACTTTATCTGTTGTAAGCCAAGCACATTTTCCATGAAATTCATGACCAGCAATTTGATGTATTAATAAAAAACAACATGGCTGTTCAGGTTTATATGGTAAATTAAGTGAATAATTCAATGTTTTTTGTTCGAACCCTCTGGCAGATAAGGCACGATCCCTTCTAACACCAAAAATTAAGAACGAAGAAGAAGGTTTTTTGTGAAAACTAAAATAGAATATCTTTCTCAGCACAAGGTGGGGGGTACACATTTTCTAGAAAGTTCCCCAAAACTCTGCCAGTGTGTCAAACATTATCTAATTCATTTATGTTTTGTTCATTTTATTTGTTGTAGTCCACAGTTGTGAACAAAATTGTCATTTTTCTTCTTCTGCTACTGTATTAGCCCTACTCCTTGAATTACAGTCAAACATCACTAAGTATCTGTTAGTCAGGCCTAATCCCTCCCCTCCCTCCCCCATAGTCCGACCAATGTCCCATCACAATAGTATCTGTTAGTCTGGCTTACTCCCCCAACCCATCCTCACCATACCCCTCACTCCCACCCATCCTCACCCCCACCCCCATAGTCTCAGACCAGTGCCCCAACACCAGGATAGCCTTAGACGAACCCCCCCCCCTCCCCTCCCCCAACTTGAGTGTTCATTCACATAATTCCATAACCACATACCTCTTAGTAGGAGACCAATACAACTTCACAAGCCAAAGCTATATGATCACAATGGCACATTAAAAAGCTTAGATAACAAAATATTTATTACATAGATTTAAGTCATAAAGTAGTTTTTTAGTTATTACCTGTACTAATACTATCTTGTTGTAGTCTTTACATTAGGATGTTTTGTAAAGTACTACATTATATATTTAAATATTACATATTTATAAATGTTTTTTTTAATCTTTAGTATCCATTTGTACAAAAAATATTTGAAGTAATGTTCAAATTGCAAATAAAGCCATGTAAATGATTAAAACATCATTTAATTAAAACAATTGACCTTGAATAATTTTTGTTTCATTCACTAATTTAGTCTTAGTTGTAATTTAATAAGGCAACTGTTTGTAAGGTTCTGACAATCAAAATGTTTTTTTTTTAAAAACGATTTAAAGTATTTGAAAAATCATAGATGGAAAATTGTTGTATTGTTCAGATGTATTAATTGAAAAAAAATCAAAATAAATAATTGGTGTATTTTAAATCAAATTAGTTTTTTTTTTTTTTTAAAGTATGGAATAATGCAGTGTGTTAGGCAAAAAGGTTTTTATAAATGTTATAATTTAGAATGTAATCTAATGATGATTTAAAAAATATTTTTGTTTTTACATCTCAATTTTTAAGAATATACAATTTGTACTTGTACTTATGTAAAAAAAATATTTATCTCTTCAATTTTTTTTTTGGATGCAGTCTCAGTTGTGCCTTTTAAAGGTCGATCAATGAAATTTTTTTTTTATATCATACGTTTTTCAGTCTTCCTATGATTGTTACACTGCCATGTTCAAATGTATGAAATAAATCATTACTACCTGACTCGCTGGCTTGTGTTTGTTTTCAAACAGTGTTTTTGGGCATGTCGACTCCACCCATTAATGTTGATGATATACTGGAGTAATGTAGGGGACATAACCAGAAATACTACTTCGTTTTAAAGCTAACAACAGTAGCCTATCGTATTGGGCACAAATGCAAATGTGGATTGCAGGGGAAGTAACAAGAAAAATATTTACTGTTTTATTTATACCAATCTTTATTACCTACCCTGAAGTAATTTTTTTTTTTAAATCAAACTAATTGAATTTTGTTTTTAAAATATTAAATAAGAGTGACGTTGGAATTTTGTTAGCGTACTAAGTAGCGTACAACCGTTAATAGCTTTTACAACATACGACAACTTCCATTTTCGGGGTCCTTGGGGGATGTTGTTACCCACCCCCTTGCCTAAAACACTGCTTTGTTAAATAGGTGAATTGCATTGTTTCATAGTGCCTCCTTTTGTTTGCGTGGTTCAACAAAGAAAAATCGTCAATAAAAAATTAACGAAATTTAAACATTTGAAATATGTTTTTACTATCGAACTTGATCTTATAAACACTTTAACGGACCAAATTTAATGAGTTATTTTAATTTTTTCGATATTTAGAGGATTTAAGAAAACTCATGATAGACCCTAGGTATTTGATCTGTATTTTGCCAATATTTTTTAATTTAAATTTCCATATTACTTCCGGTACATGCAGTATCGAATTCAAAAAGAAATCAGTAACGAAATTAAATTGATGGTTTTTTTTTTTTACATTGCCCATACTATTTACTGTATAATCGTTAAGAAATTATCAATAATCGATTATTTTACACATTTCTGCGGAATTTCATCAATTTAAATTCCTCCATACTATTTAAATTTGCATACTTTTGCGGGATTTCCCATTTGCGCATGATTTAAATTTTCGATACAGAAATTTCGCGTCTGCTCTCTGTGAAGTACGCGTCGTTTTATATCCATTTACCGCTTACTCTGACGACCCTTGGCAGGGCCCAAACTAACCGTGACGACCCCTAACAGGGCCCCCAACGACCCCAGCGCTGCATGGTATACCGGTCACCGTCTATCTGTCCAATCGTAGCTCACCAGTACACCACCTAGTGCGGGCATATAACGACCAGTGCTCCGTCTGGCCGCTGGCCGCGTATTCACCAGCCTCTTGTTTAGTCTCGCAGGCTTGTTTATATTCACGCAGTCGCCCGGCGTGTAGACTTGTCGATACTAACGGCCACTGTACACGGCGCTTCAGTTGGCCGCGTCGGTTAAAACCGCGCGCGGTGGAATAGTCGCTGCTTATGGCGTCCCAACTGAGCCATGTAGGTTGTAAAAAAAAAAACCTACCTAGTAGTAGGTTTATATCAACCTACAGTTTGTAATGATGTTTCACCCTTGGATGGTGCCTTGTTGTAAGCGTGTATAGTCACCTAGCCCGACAGGGTCTGTTGGCTTGTTTGTATACGTAACCAGATAGGCGTTGAGGCTTGTTTATTTATGTAGCCCCCCACCCCCTCCCCTTAGCTTTTAGGCTTTTAAAAAAAATTATTTATGTAGCCCCCCACCCCCTCCTCTTAGCTTTAAGGCTTTTTAAAAAAATATTATTTATGTAGCCCCCCCCCCCCTTTTATTATTTTAAAAAATTAAGTAGCACCCCATCCCATTCCCAATTTTCATTCATTTTTTAAAAATATGTATTTATGTAAAACATTAATCTCTTTAATTTTTTAATGCATTTGTGCTCTTTAAATGTCTTTCCATGTTCAATTTTACGAAATAAAGAATTATTAACTGATTTGCTTGCTTCTGTTTTTCTTTGAAACGTTTATCACAATGTATGTGTTAGGTATGAATGACTTGTTAATGGATTTTAAAAAATTAATCTAATAATAAAAATAAAATAAAAACATCAAAAGTTGGAACTATTTATCTATGGATCAAAATATCACTGAATACATCAGTTAAAATAATACAATCTGTGTTTAAAGCTACGTCTTAATTAATACATTTAAAGATCAGATTTGGCAGTAATTAAAAAAAAATCAGGCCAGATAGCTTCAGAAATATAGAAGTTTGTGATAAAGCCGCTCGTACTTCGACAAAACACACGGAGACGGAGATGTCTTAGAAAAAGCTGATTTAAAAAGAATGATATAAAATTATCAAATTTTGATTATTCTTTTTATAAATCCCAAATAGCTTAATGAAAGTACCATTCCCGGGGTTTGGAAACGAAACAAATTTTGAGAAAAATCAGTTTCAGTATTTTAGAAACCGGAAATAGAGTAAAGTACCACTTCCGGATATCGGATGTCTCTCAAAGAATAAAAGTAATCTCAGAATAAGATACTACACCTAACTAAATCAATACTCAAGTTATAGTAAGTAAAAAGTAAAGTTCCATTTCCAACCTGCTTTCTATGGGGCGGGCAAAGGCTTCTGGTCTTAGTGCTGATCACACTATCCCTTTCCCTTCATATGCCGAGGTCCCCGAAACAGCTGAACTCTACTTCATCTGTCACATGGGCCTTAAAATTCGAAAGTTTTTTTTTTACGTTTAATTGTTTATTCTTCCTAAGCTTTCTATATACTCTGTATTTCACCCTATTCCCAAGTCAGAAAAGATTTCAATACCCCCCCCCCCCCCCCAAATGAACCCTAGCTACGCCCCTTGAATCCATCTCATGTTACTTTAATACGCACGTCCCAGCATGGGATGGTCGATGTCACATTGACCTCAGATAACTCTACACCCACAATGCATCGCCACGGTTGGCTGCCCCGCACCAACTGACACGCGCTCCAACGGTTGGCGGGTTCGTACAAAACAATAACATTTTTGGCTGGTTCTAAAATAAACAACGGGAAAACCCGCTCAGCACCGGTATACCATTATCTAATTTCAAATCAATACTAATAAACAAAAAGTTTGGTTAAATAAATAATGAGCAAAATTTAAACAGTTTGGTGTAAAGCAATAGAAATATATTGTTTTAGTAGACAAAGACATGAACTGAGGTGGGTTGGTTACAACATGGAGGCCGGTACCCATAGGTATGGAGTCATTGTACGAATATGATCGTATGTCTGGGCTCATTGCTATAAAAATCATATCCCAGCGGTGTAGCCTATCTACTGTGTAACAAACATTACGCATTCAATTCAAAATAGTTCGTATATGCTGTGTTTTTTCCTGCAACAAAAGGCGTGGTTGGGGTGGGGGGGGGGTGGGGGGTATGTTCACCTTCAGACCGTATTCAGGACAGTTGAATGTTGTTTTTTGGTGTGATTTATGCAAATTTAATGCCGGTAAGCGGGAAGTGTCGGCTACATGACCTCCGTGAGTCAACCCAGCTTAAATCGGTACATAACTAGATGCTGGATATAGAACTGACCACACTATCGTTTTATATGCAGAGGTCAAGGGAACATGCGAATTTGAGTTCTGATGTGGTCGAGTCTGTAAAGCTAATGGCTGCTAAAAAGTCTCGAGTTCGAACCCTCGGGCAGAGAGGCTCGACAGCTAGGGACAACAACTCTTCTAGGAGAGACAACTCCAAAAATCTAACAACTTCTAACACCAAAAATTAAGAACGGAGAAAAAGAAAAAAAAAGTTCAGCTGTTACATCGACTGTCAAATCCGAGAAGGTATCTTTACTTTACCTTTTTGACGTCATCATCATCATCATCATCATCATAATCATCATCATCATCATCTTTTCACGTTTGTGTCCAAAACACATTGTGAGGATGAACTGAGTTGATCTGTATTCGTGATTTCGGATGGTGTGGCCAGCACTATGCCTTTGTTTCCCTAACGTAAGTCAGGTATCTATCAAAGCTGGGTGGACTCAGGGACGTCGTTTAGACTTAAATTCGGGATCGAACTCAAAAAGCTTTAGTACGATTCTTTGTGGGAAA